TGCCCCTGCATATTCATCAAAAGATCCTCCACAGGATTTTGCATTATATCGGTGTATGTAGATGATTTAAATATCATTGGCAATACACAAGATATTAATGAAGCCCGTCACAATCTTAAGGCGGAATTTGAGATGAAGGATTTGGGTAAAACCAGATTTTGCTTAGGTTTGCAAATCGAGCACCTTCATTCAGGATTTTTAGTGCGTCAATCTGCCTATGTCCAAAAATTATTGGAGAAATTCAATATGAACAAAGCATATCCAAATAAAACCCCCATAGTTGTTCGATCTCTCTGTAAAGAAAAGGACATTTTCCGACCACGGGAGGAAGGAGAGGAGATATTAGGACCAGAATATCCCTATCTCAGTCTCATTGGAGCACTTATGTATTTTGCAAATAGTACTAGGCCAAACATTGCATTTGCAGTAAATCTATTAGCAAGCATAGTACTGCTTCAACTAAGCGTCATTGAACCAGAGGAAAACAAATCCTCATGTACCTAAATGGAACTAAGGATCTTGGCTTATTCTTTCAGAAAACTGCTGATCCTAGCTTGGTTGGGTACACTGTTGCTGGCTATATATATGATCCCCACAACACCATATCACAAACAGGTTTTGTATTCCTCCATGGAGGAACGGCCATATCATGGAAGTCATCTAAACAAACATTAGTGGCTACCTCCACAAATCATTCTGAAATCATCGCATTGTTTGAGGCATCACGTGAATGTGTGTGGCTCCGTAGGATGATAAACCACATTGAGCAATCTTGTGGTATTGGTTCCACAGAATCACCTACCATTATCTATGAAGACAATGCTGCTTGTATTACACAGATGCAAACAGGCTACATCAAGAGCAATAGCACCAAACATATTGCTTCTAAGTTGTTTTATCCCCATGAGCTTCAGCAAAGTGGAGAAATAAACATCTTACAGACAAAGTCTTATGATAATCTAGCAGATCTCTTCACTAAATCCTTACCTACTTCCTCTTTCGAGAGATGTGTTAAGGGAATTGGTATGAGACTGCTCAGAGACTTGCAAGCTTCAGGGGGAGACTCTCTGAATGATGGACCTTGTTGAAACGCTTCACATTGTACTCTTTTTCCTTTTGTGAGTTTTCACCATCTCGTTTTTCCCATACAAAGTTTTTAATGAGACAATGATAGATACAAGCTTATGCTTTATCTCATGTTTTCCCCACATGGTTTTTCTACAGATAAAACAAGGCATGGATTGCTCCTTAAACCTTGCAGGTTTCTGATAGAGCAATCATCAATCATATTATTCCTATTTTTTTCCTACAGGTTTTTTAAAGGAATTAAAGAACAATTTGATCTCAAGATGGACTTGATCAAAAGGGGGAGTGTTACAAAGGCCATTACTTGGCCAATATTTGATCTCATCAAGGGTAGCAATCAAGAATTGTAACAGCCATATTAAGAGGAGAATTAGTATTTTGTAACAGCCACATTAGAGGCATAAAACCTCCTTGAATCCTGGGAGAATCCAGGCATTGTAACACACTAAATCTCCCTATATAAGGAGACATTTGAGATCAATGAAATTAGAGGGAATTCACACTTTCACTGTTCATCCATTTTGTATTCTAATAGTTGCAGTGTAATTTTGCAAAAATAAGTCTTGTTTCATCTTAGGTACACCCGAAGACAGTTAATTTCTTCCAGATCTTATGCCAATTGGATGTACTGTTGATTGAACGTAGTAAATTCTTGAATTATCATAAACCAAGCCATTTTGAAGAAGCCAAAGCTGCATGAATTGCTCTAGGATCTTGTGTCACAACATTACAATATAAACAACCACTTCAAAGTGTCCAATTAATGCTTCCAATATGTCACCATACATCGAATTGCTCTAGGAACTTGCATCTTTTTCTGTTACACATGCCTTAATAATGCATGATCAATGTCTCAATGATCAAATCTGAGTATAAGCTGAATTGCTCCCTCCTTATTTGCAATTTCTCCTATGCTAGGTTCCGGACCTTGGACAAGTTCCAGATTTCCAGCCTTAGATCACAAGAAGATGTGGGATATTTAAGGACGACTATCTGATGGTTATGGCTCAGATCATACGAAGATCGTCGATATTTAAGGATCACTATCCCTGATGGTTATCCAAAAATGTACCGTGGATCATGTTCCAATCTAGGAGTTGCGGTCTTATTACAATCATGGGCATATGCAAATATGTCAGTTCCATTTGTCTTGCTCTTTTGCCTTTTTTTTCCCTCGTTTTCAAGTTGGGCTTTGTATCAACTGCTACAGAGAGTACTCGTCTTCTGAACCTGATGTATCTTGGATACATTCTAGTTTTGATCACTTTCATTTGTTGGTGTCTGGTCATTGCGTATTCTTTCCATATAACAGATGTTACAATTGCAGAATTAAGCACTGGATTCGCCAAGATTTTTCAGCAAAAATTAGGAATTGTATCATTGTATCCACGAAACATAGAAAGATAAATGTCAGATCATTATATTGTTGCATTTTCTTACGTCTCATGATCCTTATAGAGCTATTTTTACAAGCAGACATTGGTACCTCTTAGAATATCCTATAACATAGAGAGAACATAAAGAGTTTGAGTTAAAAAAGTGCATGGTTGAAATATAGACAAATGATTGGGGCGATCGTGTGGAAGAGTAAAGAGAGTGAGCGTGGTTGAAATCCAGACAACTAAGTTAGGTGATCCTGTGGGAGGGAGGGGATAATTGTTCAATAGTAGAGGGAAGTGCTGACACAACAAACCCTAGGCTGAGCAGGGTTGTCACCTAGAAGGAAAGAGGGGATAATTATTTGATAGTAAAGAAAAGCGGTGACACACCAAACCCACTGAGTGAGGGAAAGAGGAGGAGAGACTCCAATGGTATAGGAGGCGATGATCACTGCGACATTAGAGCAAATTTAATAGTATAGTCCACTGCTAGCTCCAATTCATCTATAGCCTATCTAATAGCTAATTCATACAATAGTTGCTTACTATACTATTAACATATGGTCCCACCTGTCATATGCACATTGCGTATTGGAGTCCGTGCTGCAGCTGGCTACAGATCTGTAGCACGCTGCTATTTTCTCTCATCTTTTATCTTATTAAAATATTTTTATAGCCGGCTAATAGTCTCCTATTGTACCTGCTCTTAGGAGGAGGAGATGGAGCTGCGCATATTATTGTAAACTAGATCCAAATTTAATGGCCGCACCATAATTTAGGAACGTATGATAAGTACACTACATCATCATCGACCATCTTTATTAGTTGTAATAGACTTAAAAATTATAGAACTTAAAAAATTAAATTATGAGCAATAATAAAATGGGTGCTAGCATTGCCCACATTCATATAAATGTCCATGAATCTAGGCACACATATATATCTAGATTTATTAGCATATATATATGAATGTGGGTAATGTTAGAAAGTCTTATAACATAGAACGGAGGTAGTATTTTACCACTCCATTATGACCATCAGCATATATAGTAGTAATAAGTACACCCTCCGTTTCATGTTATAAGACGTGTTTTAAGTTTGACTAAGTTTATAGACAAATATAGTAATATTTATAATACTAAATTAGTTTCATCAAATCAATAATTGAATATATTTTCATAATAAATTTGTTTTGGGTTAAAAATATTACTATTTTTTTCCGAATTTGTTTACTATAGTAACTAATAGTCTCAAAATTAAATACTTAGTAAATGGAAACTGATATTTATGAAAATAAGAAGGACGCTGTTTTGTGAAACGTCCATGTATGGACGTTGGCTGAGGACACTCTTTGTAACGGCGTCCACGACCTGCATGCTGCTCCATCGCCGACTAGCTAGACTGTCGTATAAGCTTGGGCTTGCTTCGCTGCCTACAGCAGTCCTCGTAATTCCTCTCTCGTTCAAATCGTGACCTTTATAGTCTCAGTACGCCGCTGAGGCTTGCCGCAACTAGCCGCCCTCGTTGTTTTTCGTCACATCCCTTGTGTCTCCGGCGGTGTGGTCTGGCGAGACCAGTCGTGGGCTTTCTCGGTGAGGTCCAAGCTCTCCTCTCCTTCTATCAATTCATCGCGGCAGCGCTGTCCTCGCTCCATCACTCCAAGTGACTATGCTCATCGATCGGCTTATCATGAACAATGATGATGTGCCATTTGGAGCAGCACGGGTGTCGTAAACCAAATTAAAATACCAAACTAACATGTAGTAAGAAGAACCTGACAATAGCATCCATGCGGACATATATAGCTAGGAACACATGTTTCATACAAGTTAATGTTTAGTCATGTAATAGGGGTGCATAATAGACAAATAGTCAGTTGATCTGCTTTAGTTTTGCAGCACATGAACATATACGTATATACGAATCTTGCTAATGGATTCACTTTGGAATAAGAAAAACGAAAATCTATTGAGGGCGCCTACAAAATGGAGGAGATTGGGGGAAGGGGATGTCATCACCGAGTGTAAGTGTGCCACACATAACGCTGGCTTCTACAAGTAACGTAGCTCTTCTTGAAATCTTGAGGTGGATGGCGATCGATTGTCTTACCCCTGTACATTTGAAAAGGCTGCAGCGCCATTACCTATCCCTGACGCGAGCATATGAGAAGGGCACACGCCACACCCCTGGTTGGCTGCCTGCTCAGATCACTAGAGACAGCGTTAGTGCGGTAAGCTAGGAAGCACCGCGGCAGTCAAGACATACGGGAAGAAGCTGCTAGGCTGCACCATGGGTGGACGTGGTTAGGAAGAGCGTCCACACTCAGACGTTGTTCCCAGCAGCGTCCATCACTGGACGTCCTAGTAGATAACGTCCATCCTATTTTCCTAAATCCCCTCCATGATTTACTACTTATTTAATTTCAAGGATAATAATTACCATAAATAAAAAATTCGGTAATTTTTTTCTATAAACTTGATTAAACTTAAATCAGTTTGATCTTCTAACCTAAAACTAACAACTACAGTAACCAGCACTACGTCTCCTACTTCGACGAGCGCGCACCAACCGTTCGACGGAATGCAGTCCCCGCCGCCGCCGGCTAAGCGGCGCCGGCGCTATGCCAGGGACGAAGACGCGCCGGCCGCGGCGAGCGACGCCGACCGCCTCAGCGCCCTCCCAGACGACATCCTCCACACCCTCCTCTCGCTGCTCCCGGCGCACGAGGCGGTGCGGACGTGCGCGCTGGGCCGGCGCTGGCGCGACGTGTGGAGGTCCGCCCCCGCCGTCCGCGTCACCGGCGCCGGGGGATGGGACAGCGCCGCCAAGTTCACCGCGTTCCTCGACGGCCTTCTCCGCCGCCTCCGCAGCCGCCGCCGCCCCGGCGACGCGTCGCCGCGGCTGGAGTCGTTCGTGTTCGACCTCAACGAGATCAACTTCGGCTTCGCGGGGCTCCTCCTCCCCTCCAACCACCTCCACCTGAGCCGCGCGATCTGGCGCGCCGCGCGCCACGAGGTCCGGGTGCTCCGCTTCCGCCTCTTCACCTCCGAGCAACGCCTGCGGCTACCGGATCTCCCCCTCGTCTCCCACCACCTCACGACATTGGAGCTCGCCCATGTCCGTGTCAACGACAGAGTTCTTGATTTCTCTTCATGCCCATCGCTTCTGGATCTGATCTTGCACCGCTGCTACATCGACGCTGTGCAGATGTCATCTCAATCTCTGAATCGTCTGATCATGACAGACTGCGCGTTCTTGGTGGATGCCCGCACTCGGATGTCGTTGCCGGGTCTCATTGCCCTGAAGATCACTCTGCTTTCGGGCAGGGCTCCATTTCTTGAAAGCATGCCATTGTTAGAGACAGCAATTGTGTCACTGCATTGTGATTGTGGTGATAAATGGGGTTGGACTGGCTATACTAGGTCTGATAATGATAAAAGCATCAGCCGTTTGCTCCAAGGGTTGTCAGAAGCTACAAACTTGTGTTTGTTAGCTCATCGTCGAGTGGTAGGTTTACAACTGCTTCCTCTGTTGTGATCCTCACTATCTTTCGATTTTTACTAGTATCATATATTCATATTCATCTCTATCATTACAATTCCATTGACATGTGATATGCGTAATAAGCGTTATGCCTGCGCATGTTAGCATATTCAGTACAATATGAGTGCATCTTATTCTTAAAGATCCTAACATGTTACCTTATTTTATCTTGTTCCTCCATACCTTTTCTAGTGTATTTTGAACGCAGATTTGAAGTGGTGCCCTACATTTAGCAAATTGAAGAATCTGGTACTTAATGATTGGTGTGTGACTTCTAACCTGCACGCATTAATTTATTTTCTCCAACACTCACCGATTCTGGAGAGGCTTACACTACATCTTTCCAAGGTACAAATATCTTATTTGGATAGCTGGTGTTATCAAGTTATCATCATGATCGATTCAGTTGAGTATCATTTTTGATAGGTACGAACATATTCATTACAAACAACTGAAAGATACAAGCCACGAGAACAGTCATTTGCATTTGACCATCTTAAGAAGGTTGAATTCATGTGTGATGAGGTTGATGACAGGGTTCGCAAAATTTCCAAGATCCTGAGTACCTATGTCACACCACTCCAAGTTAATGTGAGAATAAGATGTGAGTTAATCATACTCCTCATGCTTCTTTTCTTCAATTTGTCAAAATATCGATATATTATAACCATGCAGTGAGGAAAATATTTGGGAAGCAATTGTTTGAGAGAGGTAGAAACTCCCCATATTTCATGAACAGAAAGTGAAAGACACCATAATCCATGGATCTAATTATCAAGCATTATGCATAAGAATATCACATGATCAAATTATACATTCGAGTAGTTTCGAGTTGTATAAAGCGATGACATCACTTGGCGATGTTCTGTGCAGTTTCTGTTCTTGCAAACTGTAAGCAAGCATGCTCATAGGCAAATATCATCCTTTATCCAGCCTTTGATGGCATTTGTAGTCATCTACATCCTGTTCAGACGTGCTCATATCTGATCACATGATTATTTAGTGAATGTGTTTCTTCATGTGGTTGGCGTGTATTATATGTCACATATCTGATTGGCTGTGGCTAATAATTTTTGCTTACCAATGCATAACTCGCGGTGTTTGGAATGCAGGGTTGAAAAAACACAGGAATTGGAAAACATAGGGATAGGATAGGAATGCATGTACAAAACATAGTATTTGAAAATGCAAGAATTTCACAGGAATGGATGTTTGGATAAACCATAGGAAAAACACATGAAACAACAGTGCATACAAAGTTGATTAGAGAGTTAACCAATGCTCTTGTCCCTAAATAACAAATACTAAATAAAAAGGTGAAGCTTTTTTAAGAGCAAACTAAATGAGAAGCTTGATTTTAGATAATGTAAGGAGAAGCTTGATGACGCTTAAACTTTGCATTAGTAGCATCAAAGCATTTGCCTCCATCCTACGCAATAAGAACGAAAACAAAGATGTCAGACTGGATGTTTTTCTCTGCAGTTCGACTACGAAATTAGCATTGTAGGAAAGTTTCCTCCAGTTTTCCTACGCAAGGACCCCCCATTCCGAATGGATGAACAGTACCATTTCCTATGGGAATTGGAATCCTATGAATGACTTTTTTTATAAAGCTGCATGTTGATCTAAATAAATTTCTTAATTATTAATCACAAGTAACTTAAATTCCCCATTCATATCTACAAGTCTTGCATTTCTTTGTCTTCAATTTTATACAGGTTTCAGCTACAAGCAGAGGTAAGAACATCTGGCCTGTTGTACCTATTATCTTTTAGATTCATTTCGGTTATTAGTCTTATTTGCGATGGCTTTACTAAAGGAATAAAATTGACTGATACAAAGTTCTCCACTATATTTCTTGAAAGACCAAAGTTCTTCAATATAATTGATCACTTAACATTTACTGTTTGAAAGATACCTTTATGGATAATTTGAAGTAAGTTGTTCATTGTTGATCGCATACTGAAAGTAGTTAATTTGAAAATATCCGGTAGTTGGCTGCCACAAAGTTAATTGTTGAGACTCTTTACACTTTCATTTATACAATCCGTGCTTATGCAGATAAGCTAAACTAAAGCGATTCCTAATAAATTTTAGAATTACGGTGGTTGAAAATATATAAGTTAGAAATTTACTGTATCCAGTCTTGTAAAGGGAAAACAATAACAAATCCCTATAATCAAACGGATTTTTTTACAGTATCCATTGATCAATATCCATCAAACTGGTGTCCCTAATACTATGCAGGAAGTCAGGAATCATCCAGAGCCCATCTTGCAATTTCTCTCTTGCGGTCTTGCCTCTTCTATCTGCTTCATAAACCGGAGAAGATTTGGGCTGTTCATGCAACTACTATTTATTAATTATTCAGCAATGTAGAGTATGTTTGCCGCTGTGCAATTTTGCAGGATAGTTTTAAGTTCATCCCAAGTGTATATGTGTTGCTGTCTTGCTAACGACGGTTCGTCTCTTCTAAATCTTATGATGATTGGACAGGGAAAGTGCTTTCATCCCTCAAGGGAATATCTCCTCGTTTCTTACATGACATCTAAATAGTTATAATTTTTTTTAAAAAAAAGAAAATGAATTAATATGAGATATATCACTCTATAAACATGCAAGTTTAAATTCGATCTCTATTGTAACAAAAATAACAAATATCCGGTGAATGGGTGTTAACTAGTTTCAGTTTAATTTTTTTTTTGTTAGTAGAAAACAAATTTATCCTTGCATGATTATGAAGTGATACATCTCATACTAGTATATCTTATCATTTTTTAAACTTTTAGATAACAATTTATATGAGATGTAAAAAAACGTGGGGATATCTTCTCAAGGGAATGAAAATGCATCTCTGATTGGATATCCATCTTTGACCATTAATTTATTCCATGATATATTTCCAATGAATATGGAATTAACATCATATGAAAATACTTCAAAATATGAATATAGTAATATAACATGTATAATACTTAGTATATATATGGTTAGTATGATTATTAGTCAGAAGTTACTTAATTTGATTTTCACGCCCTATAATGTGGGATAGAGGGAGTATTAAATTGTCAAAAACCTAGCCAATTCAAAGCAGCCGAAAGCTTAAAATTGTCCAAAGCCTCACCATACATCGGATTGCTCTTCAAGTTGCTTCTTTTTCTGTCAAGCATCACTGAATACTCCAGTACAGGCTGAGTTGTTAATTCCTTGATTGCAATTTCTTCTGTTCAGGTTTCAGTTATGCCTGGACCTTGGGCAGGTTTCAGCCTCAAGCATAGACCATAACAAGATTTTTGATATCTGTGGTCTGTGGACTATCTGATGGTTATCCAGAAAAGTTGATGGATTACGAAATTGTTATGTTCCCAACTGTGAACTGTGAAGTTGCTGTCCTATTACAACCTTGGGCATATGCTTGTCAGTTTCATCTGTAGGAAGTAGGAATGAACTAGAAATTACAGAAAATATCTTGCATTATTAGCTCATTTATATTTTTCAAGATGGCTTTGTATCAAGCGTACGTGCACACTGCTACAGATCGACTACTTAAGTTGGATACATTGCTAGTTATGAATTATGATCTCTTTGCGGTTGTTGGTGTCTGGTCAGGAAAGTGTTTTCATATTCCCTCGTTTCTTTCATATCACCTAAATATGTAGTTACCAAAAGATTCTTTTAAAAAATTGACAGGACAGTATATCATTCCACAAAACTATAAGTTCTAATTAGCTTCTACAAGTATAACCGTGAATATATGTTAATTAACTAGTTTCAGTTTAACTTATTTCTTTTACCATAACATGTAGAAATCGAATTTGATCTTACATGTGTTGTGGGTTGATATATCTCATATTAATATATCTTGTCATTTTTTAAGTTTTTTTATAACTATTGATGACATATAAGGAACAAAGAGATGTCGGACGAAGATCCATCTTGGTGCCTGGTTTCTTTCCATGCTGATGCTGGAGACCAAAAATATAGTAAGCACTGTATTTCACCAATTTTTGAACTGTAGCAAACAGGGTTTCTTGGGTGAAAATTAGGAATTGTATCCACGTAGAAAAGAAAATGTTGTATGTTGACTTTCAACAATCAAGGAGTATTGCTGCAAAAACATTCCCGAGAGTTGAACGTGGTTGTGGACTTGTGGGGTTGAACCTACACACTCCTACCACCATGCTAGCAAGGCATCCTAATCACTAAAACTTGCTCCCTCCGTCTTAAAATATAACAATTTTTAGAACTGAGGATTTATCCTAAAATATAACAACTTCTTCACTAACATTCTCTTCCCAAGTCTCAACTAATCACAACTCTCCACCATTCACTTTTTACACTTACCTCCACTTCTTAACCAATCACAATATCTCCCCCATTTAATTCTACATATTTTTTAATAGTCGTGTCCAACTCTAAAACTCCTTATATTCTGGGACGGAGGGAGTAATAACTACATTAGTCCTAAACTGTAAGTTTTAAAATGTAAATTGTTTTGGTTCATCTTAATCAAACTTCTTTAATGTTGACTAAATTTACTGAAAATATAGTAATATCCACATTATATCCACCTACTTGTTTGGTTTGACTAGGTTAAAATATAGTAATATCTACATTATATCCACATAATTGTTTGGTGTTGAAAATTTTGGTACGTTTTTGCTCTACAAATTTAAAGAAGTTTGGCTTTAGGAAAACTAAAACAACTTACATTTTTTAGAACGAGTAGGTAACATTTTCCTTTGTAGCTAGGTTTCTGTTATCGGTTTTCCAGTTTCAGTCCTATTGTAAAAACAATAATAAAAGAATTAAAAATCATAACTACTTCTTCCTGTTTTTTAAAGACGGATTAAGTTGGAGAAATAGTTGTGACTGACTGAGATAAGATAAGAATATAGGTGAAGAAGAAATTAAATAAGAGTATCGTGATTAGTTGAGATTGGAAACTGTGAAGTAGCTACATTAGGGACAATTTACGAAACTAGAATTTACGTAAATAATGATTCACAACTTACCAAAATCTATTTAACTTTTTTTTTCTCAAGACTTGTCCGTAATTCATAATTTACAAAAAAAATACCAATTCGTGCAAAACTCCAACTACCATTGAATAGCTAAAAAAATCCTCCAAAATTCATGCTGGGTCTTTCTCCTCCATTTTTAACATGGAACATTTACAAATTTTGCCATTAATTCTTTTTTATGTTTCGCAAATTGCTATTCTAGTGATAATCATAGTGACATTTTTTATATATTTTTAGTGGTATAAGTTTGAAATAACGATTTAAAACGGAGGTAATTTTCAAATTTGCCGGTTTAGTTCTCGAAGATGTTCGTAGGGGTAGGATTTGCATGCGTGTATTTGTAGGGGTGAGTGTACGTACCGTTGTCAGTGTCCGCGTTGTAATTCTCGAAAAAAAAAATCTGCAAATGCGGTTTTAACCTCGTCCAGGTGGCCATTTCTATCCAGGTTTCTCCATCACGCCGCCGCAGGGGGCTCGTCGACGGCGATCAACCGCCGTCGCCGCGCCTTGGATCTTAGGCCCTTGGTCGGGGATAGAGGCGAGGATCGAGTCGTCTTCTTCCTCTCTCTCTCTCTCTCAGCCAGCCCGCGCGATCAGAGATACACATTGATCATCGATTCGTTCTCTTCCTCTCCTCTCAGCCGGTCTGTGAATTTCTTGGCCAGGTGAGAGGTGATCCAAGGTGAGGTGATGGCGCGACGCGCCCACGAATCTTTCGTCCTGTTCGTGTGCAGGCGTGTGCGGGGTGACATTGTTGAGGTTTCATTCATCCCGCAGGTTTCTTTCCTCCTTTGACGCTCGCAAGGTGTTCGACGGAATGTCTCCGGAGAGCAAGAAGGCGTTGGTGGAGGGGGGCGGCGACGACCGCATCAGCTTCCTCCCGACCGCGCTCCTGCAGCACGTGCTGTCGTTCCTGCAGGCGAAGGAGGTCGTGCGCACCTGCGTGCTCGCCCGGCGCTGGCGCCACCTCTGGAAGTCCATGCCCATCCTGCGCGTCACCGGCGCCGGCGACGCCCGGGCGTTCCACACGTTCACGTACCATCTTCTTCTCCTCCGAGACCGGTCGCCCCTGGAATCTTGCACGTTCGACTTCAATGTATTCTCCAAAGACGACATGCCCATCGTGAACCTCTGGATTCGGTATGTCTTGCTGTGCCAAGTTCGGGTGCTCACTCTCGCCATCGGTGGACATCAGCTGACTGATCTGCCTGTAGTCTCCCCAATCTTGACAAGGTTGGAGCTTAGTCGTCTGAGTGTAAATGGCAAGTTTCTTGATTTCTCGAGCTGTCCGGCACTGAAAGAGCTGAAGATGACCAACTGCGAGATATCTGCTGACAAAATATCTTCCAAGTCCCTCAAGCGTCTCAGGATCTGTGAATGCAAGTTTAAGTCGAAGATGAGAACAAGAATCTCTGTACCAAGTCTACTTTTCTTGAAACTAATAGCTGTCAAGGGTAGAACTCCTTTCCTTGAAGACATGCCAGTGTTGGTAGCAGCAAAAGTTTTACTGCTCGACTTCTACTGTAAGGATTGTTGTGATGGCAATGATCCTGGGTATTGTCCTGCTGGCTGTACGCATTGTTATGGCATTGATGATGGTAGTGCAGGCTGTGTGCTTCTAAAAGGTTTGGCGGATGCTACGAATTTGGAGTTGATAGCTGATCCTGAAGTGGTATGCTTACTACTACTTTTGTCTTTCCATCAGTAAATATTTGAATGCTTACATTTAATAAGTTACCTCAAACTAATTTGAGCTTTAAATACCAAGTGTCACCTAGGATGGTCCATAACTCCATTTTCATATATTAAAATTTGAAGTTTCTGTGTATCATACAATGTATACTGGCATACCGTGTATCGAAAATATGATGTTGAGGAAAGTTTCTGATTGTTGTTAATCTCTCATGACTTCTTCCATGCAAAAAGAAAAAAGAAATCTCTCATGACTTCATGCAAAATCTGTAGAGTTTGGATGTTTTATCTGTAAATCAAAGAAATTTGCACAATATGCATTGGGATATGTAATTGTTTGGTTGCATGTTGTATCTATAATTCTTATCTGCTAAGTTCGAAAAACTTCTAACCGTATCAATAAGTTTACAACTTTACTTTAAAAATTAAACATTGAGATGATGTTGCTTTTAAAACTGTCCAGTTTATTCTCAAAAGGGATTTGAGGTGGTGCCCTACATTCACTAACTTGAAGACTTTATTACTCAGCCAGTGGTTTGAGTCTTCTGACCACTGTGCACTAATTTGCATTCTTCAACACTCACCGGTTCTAGAGAAGCTCACTCTTCAGCTTTCTAAGGTAACTGTTTTGCTCAGATAACTGTGTGCTATCATCCGTGGATGATTTATCTTATATTATAATATTTTCCTTGCTGCAGAAATCAGTAATCAATGTTCGATCAAGAGCGATCTACAATTCGATGGAAAAGTCATTTACATCAGAAAACCTTAAGACAGTTGAAGTTAAATGTCAAGATATTGACCAGAGAGTTCACAAACTTATGAAGTCCTTGAACAGCTATGGAATACCACTTGAGAGAATTAATATCCAACAAACAAATCAATTTTCTGAGTGTAAGTTTTCTATTGACAATCTGTATTCCTACACTTTTCTTTTACATCTTTGAAAAATAAACCAGAGAAACTCCTTAACAGTAGAAAAATATTTTTATAAAAGCTGTGCACATTCATGTTCGGTGTGAAATGAAAAGTGGGAGAGTCCCCAGTCCTCACAGTTGGTGAGAAAATTTGTACATTTTATTATTCCATAGTGAAGTAATGGCAAGTATAGATTTAATTGAGGTATAAGATGTATTAAAGTTAATAAACCCCAATTATGTTAAATTGAAATTCAGAGATTCTACAAGTAACTAGTATTATTTCACTGTGCACGTGGCTACAGCTATCAGTGCTACTACCAAGACTGTTGGCACACAAATATCTTTTGCTGTTTAATGGATTAGGCAGCACTCCTGCATTTTCCTTCAAAAACTAAATATTTCGTATCCAACTTTACTTGGGGTTTCATTCGTATTATGAAGGACCAAACACAAATTAATGGAATGCCATCAAATATGGTTCATGAACCTTACCCTGCTATGCACAAACCATTTTTTGTTCTTTTATTTACATTTTTTTAAAGAAGTGAAGAAAATATCATATGAATTAGAAGAAGGGACCGAATCTCATATTAGTTGAAGTGATTAAGTGAATGAGTTATACTGTATGCACGTAATTGGCAGAATTACCGTCAGATGTGCAATAAGCATTTATCTCGAATTGCACTATTACAGTAATCACAAATCTGACCATCACATTTTATGTTCAGTTGATCTGAGTCCCTGACCTGCAAATCGTATAACTATGGGCATCATTTTATTGTTGTTGACTGACATTATATTATTGTAAATATCTGTTACTTTTTAGTCCTGGACCATTCTATATGAGTTAATTTTGTTTGAATTTGCTGCCAGCATGATCTATTCCATACAAACGTATCAAGGTCTGATTCTCTAGTGGATCTGTGCTTTCTCTTATTTGTTCTTGTACCGTTCTTCAACTATTATCATGTACTCCGTTCGAATTTAAATATATACACTGTTGATTTTAGTTGGTCAACCTTTCGAAACTTTGAACAGTAATAGACATGTGTAAATTTTTAGTTTGAAAACATAAAAACCATGTGTAATTTTTTCTTTACATGTACTTCTATAATATTATAATTTTGTTAGATATTATCATCATGTTTTTTTTTGCGGGGAGATATTATCAACATGTTAAATAGTGAACAAAGTTGCATAACTAAGAAAGACTGAATAAAGTCAACAATGTCAGGTAGTGTACAGATCCTGATAAAAAAAAAGGTAGTGTACGGACTTACAGGTATTTCTTGTGTTGTTATTGTAAGGTGAACTATTTTGCCTTTTTTTTAATCGTGTTGACACTTCTGTTTTTCTTTTTCAAGGAAGGACCTCTCTGAATCCATTGCACGCATTTTTCTTTTTTTTTTCCTACAGGTTTTAATTTCGTTTGGACAGGATTCATACCAAGACAGAGTTGCGGAAGACCCGGGCTGTCGATGTATCTAAATTCTCCTTAATTTGCCATCTGGTATTGCTGCTTCAAACCAATGGGGATATTCTTAAATCGGTTCCAACTGAGGGAATGAAACATAGGTTTATTGATACGATTTGCTTGGATGTGTCTGGACGTGGTTTTATTAGCTACCTACTAGGTATTAGTCTTACTCCATGTTTCGTTAACGGCCTGACTTGGTAGTATCTTTCGTGATGACTGAAGCTGGATCAGCTACTGAACTGGAACTGAATGTTCATGCGATTTATAAACTTGCGATGCCCTAGGACAGTTTTATGCTTTCCTTTGTGTATTTTGTGGAGATTTGATCAAATTTCAGTTCATTTTGGACCGACGCACAAGCTGGATTACTATTGCGGAATTTGGAAAAAAAAAAAGAACTACTTTGTAAAGCAGGTATGATACCAAGCAAGAATCAGGCAGGTATCGGATTAAGAAATCTATCGGTATATACATATTCAGCAGTACTTGGGAAAATTATTGTTTTTTATTGGGCGTAACTCTGTTTTGTTCATCTGGTGGAGTTAGCAAGATATTAGTTTTGTATATACAGTTTTGGGCAGAGCGCCCTACATCTAAAAAATTTTTAACTAAGAAAAAATCAAACGACTTATAATATGAAACGAATGAAATTACATGAGACGAACAAAGTATTTGTAAATTGTAAATTATAGTTGCGGTCATATTGATAGTTTAGGGTCCCCAACCGGCATATTTACAAACAAAATATAATTTATGAATAAAACTTTTATATACGTGTTTTAGCGATCTAAAAGCTGAAAAATAAACTTCGATGAAAAAACCCCAAAATCAACTCCAAATTTAATTAAGATTAAAAATTCAAATTTTAACTGATAAATATAAGCATAAGCGAAAAGAGTGTAGCCTAACAAAAATATTTGTAGCTTTCTAAAATTTACTCTGCTAAATGATGTGTTGCAGTCTCCCAGAGGACCCACGTAGGCACGTACGGCCGTATTTCTCCATTTTTTTACACTTCCTCCTCCGACGAGTGATGATCATGCCTATCTAGGTTCCTCCACCGCGTGCGCCGGCGCCCGCCGGCCCGCGGCTCGCCGACGGCGCTCAACCGCCGTGTCTCGCCGATCTCTTTCACTGCGAGCGCGAGCGTGTGCGTGCGCTGCGTGTGCGTCGGTGAGATTGCTGAGGTCTCGTCCCGCAGGTTTCGTTCTTGCTCTGACCGCCTGAGGCGCGCAGAGTGTTCGACGGAATGTCTCCCAAGAGCAAGAAGGCGGCGGTGGAGGGCGGCGGCGGCGGGGACCACATCGGCGCGCTCCCGGACGCGCTCCTGTGGCACGTGCTGTCGTTCCTGCAGTCGAAGGAGGTGGTGCGCACGTGCGTGCTCGCCCGGCGCTGGCGCCACCTCTGGAAGTCCGTGCCCGTCCTGCGCGTCACCGGCGCCGACGAGGCGATCCACAAGTTCATGGACCATCTCCAGCTCCTCCGAGACCGATCGCCCCTGGAAGCTTGCGTGTTCGCCTTCTGTTTATACTCCAAGCACGACGCGCCATTCGCGAACCTCTGGATTCGGTATGTCTTGTCGTGCCAAGTTCGGGTTCTCACTCTTGATATCATTGGGCTTCGGCTCATCGATCTGCCTGTAGTCTCTGGATTCTTGACTACGTTGGAGCTTGGTGGTATGAGTGTTCATGGCAAATTTCTTGATTTCTCGAGCTGTCCGGCACTGGAAGAGCTGAAGATGACCAAATGCACCATATCTGCTGACAAAATCTCTTCCCAATCACTCAAGCGTCTGAGCATCTGTGAATGCAAGCTAAAGTCAGACGGGAGGACAGTTATCTCTGTACCAAGTCTCCTTTTCCTGCAACTAATAGCTTTCAAGGGTAGAACTCCTTTCCTTGAAGATATGCCACTGTTGGTAACAGCAAAAGTTATACTGTCTGGCTACCACTGTAAGGATTAGTGTTACAGCAGTGACCCTGGGTATTGTCCTATTGGTTGTACGCATTGTTATGGCATTGATGATGGTAGTGCAGGCTGTGTGCTTCTGAAAGGTTTGGCTGATGCTTCGAATTTGGAGTTGATAGCTGATCCTAAAGTGGTACGCTTACTACTACTACTATATTTTATCAGTAAATATTTAAATGCTTACATTTAATAAGTTGCATATGTCAAATTAGTTTGAGCTTTAAATTCCAAGTGTCACTTTGGAGTTTGGACAGTCCATATATACCATAAAAATATGAAGTTTCTGTATATGATCATTCAGTGTATACTAGCATGCTGTATATTCAAAATATTTTGACAAAGGTTACTGATTGTTGTTAATTCTCTCACGACTTCATGCAATATCTGTAGTCTATGAGTTAATCTGTAAATTAAAGAAATTTGTACAATATGGCATGGGCTGTATTTAATTGTTTGGTACGTTGTTTAGCTGAGTATCTATAATTCATATCTACTATAACTAAGTGCCAAAAACTTCTAACCGTTTCATTATATTACAACTTTACTTCAAAATTAACCTTGAGTTGATGTTGCTTTAAAAAACTGTCCAGTTTATTCTCAGAAGGGATTTGAGATGGTGCCCCACATTTACCAAACTGAAGACTTTATTACTCATTCAGTGGTTTGAGTCTGCTGAAAACTGTGCACTAATTTGCATTCTTCAACACTCACCATTTCTAGAGAAGCTCACTCTTCAGCTTTCTAAGGTATCTATTTTCTTCATAGATAATTGTATGCTATCAAATTTACCATCTATGGATGATTTATCTTATTATAATATTTTTCTTGCTGCAGAAACCTGACATCAATATGCGATCAAGAGCAATCTACAATTCGATGGGAAAATCATTTGCATCAGATAACCTTAAGACAGTTGAAGTTAAATGTCAAGATATCGACAAGAAAGTTCATAAACTTATTATGTCCTTGAACAGCTACGGCATTCCACCTGAGAAAATTAATATTCAACAAACAAATGAATCATATGAGTGTAAGTTTTCTATACCCGATCTTCAGGCATCCTGTTTTTCTACTGTTCTCTTTTATATATCTGAAAACTAAGCAGAGAAACTCCTAAACTGTAGAATATATATATATATATATATATATATATATATATATATATATATATATATATATATATATAGGAGTTGGATTTTTTGCACGCGAGTTCACATGTACCCACAATCTACACCCTATATGTAGCTTGCACGAATCTTAGGGCAAGTATATTAGGTGCTAACAAAATGTAACATGCATGATATTTACGTTATACTATATTTTTTACAAGTGTAAAATACCTTGTTTATGTAATTTTTGTATTTCTTGTATGCAAAACTTGTTTATGTAGTTTACCTTGTTTATATAAATTATCTTGTTTATGTAGTTATTGATGGTAGGATATATATCATTTTGAAAATATCATTTTTGCAAGATGACAATTTTATGATATAGTAGATATATTGTTTTCTCATTTTGACTAGATATCATGTTATAAACAAAATAAGGGTTAGAGAAATACAATGCACTAGATATATAAATGTCATATATGATTATTATTGAAAAAATTATTTGGTAAAAAATGCAACATACATGTTATACATATTGTGAACCAACCTAATCCTAATCATCTTTTCTCCCTATAGTAAGCATTCATTTGGTTAAGGTTAGGTACATTTTGCAACACGAATCTTGGAACACATCAACAGTGTAGATTATAGGTACATGTGAACCCGAGTGCAAATCTGCATTTTCCTATATATATATATATATATATATATATATATATATATATATATATATATATATATATATATATATATATAAGTTGGGCACATTCATGTTAGGTGCGTAATGAAAAGTTGGAAATCCTCACAGTTGGTGAGAGAACTTATACTTATACATTTTAATATTTTATTCTCTACTTGAGTAATTGCAAATGTTATTTTTAACCAAGGTATAATATATGTTAAAGTAAAACTGTAACACATACTCAACTCCATTATATTTTGACTTTTTTGAGAATATTATATTTTGATTTGAAATTCAGAAATTCTAGAGTAACTATGAGGCTACAGCTATCAATGCTACTGCCACGACTGTTGGAACATAAACTAAGTTAGACTTTTCAGTTGCGTGAGTATCTTACCTATTAGTAGTTGTATTTTTAGTATCGACTATTATTACTGTGGAGAGCAGGCACATGAGCCAACCGTCATATCCTTAGATGATGAAGCAAAGAAAGAGGTCTATACCTTATCTTACCACCTCTGCCAGCCATGCGCCTTCTCTTGGGCATCACTGCCATTATGACAATGTGCCTCTGCTTCCCCAATTTTTTTTCCAATGTCATGCTGGTTATTAATATTGTGTAGAAAGATATGAAGTTATCTACGCTTGCTTTTATCTAAATGGGCTTCTATCTATCTCTTCCTTTTCATTTTGACAAAGTTCCGACAATCTAGATCTCATTGACACAAGATAAGTTGCCAACCTTTTTTGATTTGAATCTCCAATATGAATTTACGCACAATTTATTTTCCACTGTATCATTACTGCCACTGAGAGTGTAGACCTTCGGGAATGGGGGCATGGGGCTTAAGAGCCAAGCACTTGCAAAATTAGCCTGAACAAAACCTCTTTTGATTCTTTGTTGATTAAACAGTGCTCCTGCCCTTTCCCTTCAAAAGAATCATTCAATATCCAACTTTACCTGGGGTTCTATTCATATAACAAACAACCAATCGAATGAATCAGAAGAATCTCATATTTGATGAAGGGAAAAAGGTACAGAATATACTGGATGCATTTAATCGGCAGACTTACCCTCAGATGCACAATAAGTATTTGCGTTGAATTACATACAACATATCACAATCTGACAATCACATTTTACATTCAGTTGATCTGAGTCCCTCATCTGCGAGGCTGCATGTCATATAACTGTGCACACCATTTTATTGTTGCCAACTGACATTATTGTAAATGTTTATGATTTTTTACTTCTGCAGCATTCAATATATAGTTTTTTTTTTGAATTTGCTGCCAGCCTGATCTATTTCGTAAAAACATGTGAAGATCTGATTCTCTAGTGAATATATGGGTCCCCTTTTCTATCTTGCCACCACACTTCGATTATTAAACTTGCGTACATGTTACAGACTTACCAGTTTCTTGAATTTTTATCGTAATCACATTCCTCTTTTTTTCCCCCGAGGAAATGACACCTCTGAATGCATTGCGGCTTTTTCATCTTTTTCCAACAGGTTTTAATTTCGTTTGGACAGGATTCATCCCAAGGCAGAGCTACCAAGCATCCGAGCTGTCCATGTATATCCGGTCTCCTTAATTTGCTATGGATGTAGAGCAAGTTTGCAGTCACCAGGTGTTGCTGTCTGAAACCAATGGGAGTGTTAAAAATCTGTTCCAAACCTGTTGGTGAGGCTTGGTAATACGACTTTGTGTAGATAACTAGATGTGGCTGGACCTAGATTTTATTAGCTCTCAAGTTTTGATCCAGATTTTGTTAACGACTTTTGCAAAGATATCTTGGCAGTATCTTGTGCCATGACTGAAGCTGTGTTTTTCTCTTTTTTGTTTCTTATGGAAGACTGAAGCTGAGTAAGCTATTGAATGTTCAGGCGATTTATGAACTTGGCATTGTCTTTTCATTCTTGCATCCGGTCTAGGACAGTTTCATGCTTAGCTTTTTATTTACGGCTTTTTTCAAAACTCGGGATACCCTCAAAACTTTGTAGGTTTGGAAATTTAACCAAATTTCACTTTATTTTACCCAAAGACGCTAGCTGGAATGAGGGGGTATTTTGGACCGAATTTTTAATGGCCGATTTTCTGGTTATAGCCCACCGGCTCGTGAGTAGTCTGGCCCAGTACGCCATTTAAATCGTCCCAAAATACACAGCCCACCGGGAGAACCAACAGGTAAGGCGGCTATAGGCTATAGTCCCATCGATTCGTCATACGCCAATTATACTTTTGGGAAAATTTTTAGATATTTTTAGATAATATTTTTTTCGGGGATTTTTAGATACGCACAAACATTTTTAGATAATGTTTTGTTCTAAATAACATTCATTGACTTAAATTATAATTTTAAACCATATATTATAATTGGCATCAATGATAAAGGAAATATAATCTTATAAATAACAACATGAAACTACAATTAATTTTGATCGGAACGATAATTCAATATCATGAAAATTATATAACTAGATCCTATTATTCTTATTTAGCTATAAATAATTCAATACAGAGAAAAATTATAAGTTCTCCCGCGCTGGATCTCCGAGCTCGCTGCCACTCCCTCCTCCCGCCAACGTGACGCTCACCAACCGCAACGTCTCGTTGTCGTCGTCACCGGATAAGCATTGGCGTCGTCGTCACCCCTTCTCTCTCCATGGAGGTGACGCGACCGCTCATCCCACTTATCCGTCGCTCTGGCGGCCAGCATCTGAGTAGAATATTCTTCCTTCGGGCCACTCTTTATCCAGTCTTCACCGAGTAATCAAACACCTTAAAAAAAAAATAGGCGCCATCACCATGTGCTATCCACCCAAATCCTCCCATTAAAAAAAAAAAAAATCGCCGCTCTCCACCGTCACAAAATAAAAAAAATAAAAAAAAATCGCCGCTCACCGGTCGCGGAAATCCCCAAAACCTCTATATCCCCTTCCTCTTCACCGACTTGCTTCTCGGCTTCGTCTTGGATTTGCTTACTCTTCGAGAAGCTTCTAGAACATAAAGGACCTAGGCAGGGAGCCCAATCTACCGTGCCAAGTCTTCCACTCCTGCTTCTTCCCACCAGCCGGCGGCACCGGCAAGAGTTGGCCGCCGGCCGCCGCGTCGGGGAAGGAGGCGGCGCCATTTGCTAACCACTCCGCCCTGGCCTCAAATCCAAGATCCACAGGTAAACAAATCTATGAGCTAAAGATTTGTTCGGTTTTCGGAGGATGCAGCGAGGAATCCATCTCTTGTGCTCTCTTCCTCCATGTTCTTTACTCCCCCCATTGCGTGCTCTCCAGATTTGGTGCTCGCCACCTGTTCGACGTAATGCCGCACCCGCGACCGCGAGGCGGGGGTGATCGGCTTGGCGCCCTCCCGGACGAGGCCCTGCAGCACGTGCTGCCCTTCTTGCCGTTGCCGGAGGCCGTGCGGACCGGCGCGCTCGCGAGGCGCTGGCGCCACCTGTGGAAGTCCATGCCCGTCCTGCGCATTACCGGCGAGGGGAGGGTGCTCAACCGGAGCGGCGTCAGGAGGCTGAACAGATTCGTGAACCACCTGCTGCTCCTCCGTGACCGCAGCGCGCGTCTGGATGCGTGTGAGATAAACCTCGGTACGTTCCGGAGCCAGGATGATCCACAAATTAACCTGTGGATTCGCCACGTGCTGCTGTGTGAAGCTCGAGACCTTCGGGTTCATCTAAGCATTGATAACAACAGCTTTGAAATGGAAAACCTGGCATTAGTCTCCCGGCATTTGACAAGATTGGAGCTTTCCAATGTGGTGCTAAAAGACCACTTCCTCAATTTCTCGAGCTGCCCAGCACTTGAGGAACTAGTGACGAGGAATTGCCATATTGAAGCTGAAGAGATCTTGTCTGAATCCCTGAAATGGCTGACCGCAGTTGACTGTGTATTTTCTTCCTATCCCCGGACTCGAATTTCACTCCCAAGTCTTGTCGCACTGGAGCTAACTGAGCCTTGGGGGAGCACTCCTGTTCTGGAAAGTATGCCATCTTTATTAACGGCATCTATAAAACTCACTGACTGTGATGACCATTGTGGTAAAGAAGAATTTGGGGGTTCATGCGACGATAATGCCTGTGATAATTGTGGTGCTAATGGGGGGAGCAGCGGAGATTGCGTGCTACTTGATGGTTTATCAGAGGCTAAAAGCTTGGAGCTGATAGCTAAACCTAGAGTGGTATGTTGACACGTTCATCTTAACATTTCTTGTTATTTCTGCCCAACTATTTCCCTTACATGATCTATATCCTCTTGACACTTTCGAACTTAAGTAAGTAGCTCATCTGCATTTCATGAACCAGATACCATCATAGTTTAGTGAGGTAGTCAATGGTCCGTTTGTGATTAAATGATTATTTCTTCGTTTGTCTAATACTTTGCTATTTCTTATTATTGTCCAGTTCATATTCAGAAGTGATTTGATGTGGTGTCCAACATTTGGTAAGTTGAAGACGTTGTTACTCAATGAGTGGTCTGTGGCAATTGATCTTGTTGAGCTGATATGCTTTCTGCAACATACACCTGTTCTAGAGAAGCTGACTCTTCAACTTTGCGAGGTATACATTTTGTGCATCTCGTAGATATCTCTATTTAAAGGTATCATGCATGAACTGAGTCATTTAATTTATGTTTCATGTTGTTTGGTACAGGGACCTGTCAATTGGATGGAAAATGAAGGGAGCTACGACCCAACAGAAAATCCGTTTGCATCTAAGCAACTTAAGGTAGTTGAAGTCAAGTTTGAAAAGTTTGATCTGAGAGTTCACAAAATTATAATGATCTTCAGTACCTATGGCGTAAATATTGAGCAAATCTATATCCAGCGAAGTGTGGTACATTCTGAAGGTAACTCGGCTATTGACACTTGTACCATCTAGTCTGTACCTTCAGGTCTAATAATAACGATGAATCTACAGAGCCTACGGATGATTCAGGTGCTGGACCTTCTCGGGTTCGGACACCGCCAATTTCCACGTCGGAGAATGCTCAATTGAAAATCACGATTGATCAAATGTTAGGTCAGCAACAGGAGTTACTGGCACAGCAACAGCAACAGCAGCATTTCCTATCCCAGTTGCAGCGGCGGCAGCAGATCCTCTGTGATATCACAGCCCAGCTTTCGAAATATGCTGCTCCTCCCATTTCTCAGAGGCCTCCACAAGCTAATCTTTATCCTTCAGGTCCGTCTCACACCCATCCTACTCCTTGAATCTGTAGAACTTTTACTCTTCTGCTCCTGTTAGTTTCTGGACATTTGCCACTATTTTGGAGACTTTCCTGTGATTTGTTTCCTGGAAATAATATAATTTTAAGGGCAAATCGCTAAGATAGTTTTCATTTTTGAAAAATAGTAGTTCTGGCACCTTTTTGGCAAACCCTATTTTTAGAAATATTATCTGTAAATGGAAAATTGCAGAAATGTCAATCGGTTGAACAAAATCGCAGATTTAGTGTAATTATAATACATGTCATGTTGAACTAGCCAGGCCAACATGGGCATATCATACGGGTCGCAACTGATGAGCTGTTCAGGCTGGTGCCACATAGGACATCTTGGTGCCACATAGGTGGACAACAGCCTATCGCACAAGGTCGGTTCGACTGCCCGGCAATGGGTCATGTCGAACTCGGTGGTCGAACTTTCGACCCTTTCACACGGGCCGTGCGACTAGGCCCAAGCATGTGCTGCCACACCCAACGAGTATGACATGGCGCAACTAAAGCATGGATAGGGACCGCGCGCTCTCGTGGCTTTCGCTTTCATCATAGACAGAGGTAGTTGGGGCGGTCTTGGTGTGATCGGTGGCTGTGTGCGGTGGGTTGGGGGCTTGAGGCAGCGGAGCACAACAGTGGGGATTGACATCGGTACCAGGCTACACTACAGGATTTCCCTTACCGCGATAATCAAGCTTATCTCTAGAGTATGGTGACAGTAAGTGCTCGGTAACCCTATCAAGTTAAAAAAAAAATCAATAAATTTTGTCCGGTTTTCCCATTGTTAGCTGCAAGGTTACCGGGGAAAATATGTAGTGGAAAATTGGGAACTACCGTTGGATCGAAAAATGGACGTCTAAGATTCGTCCATGTCACCATGAGTAAAAATTTTGCTCCAAGTAAACTTTTTACTCATAAGTAAACTTACGAGTAAAATTTTTACTCGTGATGACGTGGACAAATCTTAGACGTCTATTTTTCGATCCAACGTTAGTTTCTAGGTTTCCACTACATATGTAGTTTCCACCATATATTTTCCTAGGTTACCGCGGTTATAGGGCTTGCTGCTAGTATACGGTAACCCCCTTTCCCGCTAAGGTAAACCCTGCTACACCATTGGGTCGGCAAGCTGCCAGTGGGGATGGATGTCCAGTGGAGGTAGAATTTTGTTTGTCAATGTTATGCTATGATGTTATGTGGGGATTAACGTACAAGAAAAGAGGACGGAAGGAGAAGCTGGAGCAGGCGTCGTGGGATTGCATGCCACATGGATAAGTTTGCATCAAGTTAGGAGTTTCAGTTTAGATTAGCAAGAAGTTGTTATTTCCTTTTGATTAGCATATTAGTTCTATTGTAAGGCTATATATGCCATTCGATTCAGAGAAATAAAGTAAGAAAGAAGTTTATCCCTAAACCCTAGTTCCTTCCACCACGACTCTGGGGCGGCGAGGTGTGCAGCCTTGCCATCACGTCAAGCACGGCTACAGGCCGGCTCCTAACATCTGATAAGTGAAATTATAATTATTTATAGGATGTAAAGTTTGTCTTAGAATAATGCTGAAATATCATGGTACAAAATTATGCATGTGGATTGCAAATTTAGGTTATTAGTCCACATTAGGGAATATAGAAAGCCAGGATCAATGTGTTAATTGTTAATTTAGGACAAATTAAGGGTTGCTAATATTTATTTTATTGCCCTATGATTATACATTAGTTGTTATTTAGGTTTTATTTTAACACAAATTAGGGATTGCAAACCGTATATTTGTTATCTATACTTATACTCCATTCCAAAATATAAGAACCTAGGATCGGATGTGACATAGCCTGTCCAGATTCCTTGTAATAGGATATGCCTCATCCAGTCCTATGTTCTTATATTTTGGGATGGATGGAGTACTAATTAGTGGTTCTCTTAAAAGCCTCTACCATTGTTTTTAAGGCGGTATGGCGACCCGCCACGGCCTTACAGCCATAGCGTTAAGGCGTATGGCGTGGCAACGCCATACACACATCCTATGTTTTCAAATTAAATCAGAAATTCAGTAGAGTATGCATAGTGGCATACCTTGTCGCTGCCATCTTCCCTTTTCCAATTGCATAGCTAGGTGTTCGGGTGCACTATAAAGAAAGCCAGGAAGGGGATTGTGCAAAGAGTGTAGAGAAGGGAGGAAAGCAGAGCACTGTAAAGAAACAGAGCAGGAGGGAGACAGAGCAGCAGATAAGGAGAAGAAAGGGGAGAGAGCAGCGCCGAGCAAAGGGTGAAAAGGAAAAAAAGAGATTGAGAGGAAGGAGCAGAGCAAAGAGCAGAGAGAGAGAGAGAGATTGAAGATTGAAAAGGAAAAGGAAGAGCAGAGCAACGCAGAGCAGAGAGAGATTGAAGAGGAAGGAGTGTACCTTGAGATGGAGAGGCACCGTGATGACAGAGTCATGAGATGGTGTTGTGGTGGAGCCGGCGATGACGCGTGATGACGAGGGCTGCGCACGAGATGGTCCTGAATGCGCCGTCGTGATGGATCGATCTAGGGTTTACACAGGGCGCACTCTCTCCCTTTTCCCTCTATTTCTCTACCACTGTTAGGGCCTCACGGGCTTATTTTCGCCCCCACTTGGCTAGACTTACGCTCCAGCACGCCTGGGATTGGCGGGCTCATGTCCCGCCCCGAAAATTTCACGCGATCCTCATGTAGCGGCGCCTCATGCCACTCCGACGCCTCACAGTGCAATCGTGACACCCTAGCCCTAAGGCGGACGCCATACTTGCGGCCATGGCGGCAGGACGCCTTGGAGGCCACCGACCGCCACGATGCCTTCGCGACACTATGGCGACGCTATACTGACACCTCAATAACCATGGCCTCTACAATAATCCTATAGGAGGCAAAAATATATGGAAAGTACCACATTAATTAATTGAAAATTTGAGAAATTCCCACATTAGTTGGTGAAAAGGAAAAAAAAATCATATCCATTCAATTGGAATATCAGAAAATCCACTTTAGTTGATTTTGCCCCTACTTCGTCAAGAGGACTTTAACGGTATTAAAAATATGTATTCCCCTGTAGATTTGTCCTTACTATTTAGAGGACTTTGTGATTTAGCTTGTGTTTTGACATCAACCATTTAGAGAAGGATTTCCCCCTGATTTTGACGTGTTTCACATATTTAGTTAAATAAAATAAGGGTGAAAACCAGCTTGACATAAATCGTGTTTATGTTTTTCACATTGTATTTAACTCCGTTAAGGCCTTTTGACAGAATAAGGGTAAACACAATCTTCGGTCAAAAAGAATGAGGACAAAATCACATAGTTAAAAACAGGAATAGGAATGCAATTGCCCCAATATTAAAACGCTAAGTAGACTTCAAGTCCGCGTTAATCCGGATTAGGGATGGCAATGGGTCTCCGTTATCCGTTTCCCCGTGGAGAATTCTTCCATTAGGAGGTGGGGATGGTTTTAATTTTCTCTCCATGGGGAATCAAATGGAGACAAACTAGCCTCCATCGGGTTTGGCGGGGGCAGGTATGATTCACCGTCCCCTGTCCCCACTCTCCGTGGTAACCCAATTAAAAACTAGGCCCAATCACTGAGTATATAAGCCAATGGCTAGTTGCTAACCCTAGCCACCCACCCACATCTCCCGTGATCCCATCCCCACTCCCAAATCGATTTCACGCAGCAACGGCGGCCGAAGCTGCAGCCCACGCGCCGTGCCTAGCGCCGCCCGAAGCTGCCGCTGCCAAGGAACTCCGACACGGTGATGCTCTGGTAGGAGCAAGCGGTAGGCCTCGAGTTGCCCGGTCGCCCTCGCTCCCCGGCTCCCTTGGTTCCTCTCCTTTGTTGCCAGGTTGTAGACATGGCGTTGTCAGTCAGCATCCTTTGGTCGCTCATGTTGGCCGTCGGCCTCCTCCCTCTACAGCTTGATCTATTCAATCCGTCGCTCGGCTTGTCCCTTTGTATTCTTGTGTTGTTGCAGTTTGCTACTGTTTGTTGCATCCTATATGTGAGCTGTGAGCTTTGCCACTCATGAATATGTTTTTTGTCGATCCTCGTGAACTTGTGTGAGCTTATGCATATTATGTGTGGATGTTTACTATTGATCCAGGATTTATGTTTCGTTCTTTAGCTGAATGTACATGCTGAGTTGTTGACAGTGGGGACGGAGGCTCCGTGGGGACAAATTCCCCGCACGGAGGATGGGGATGGGAACAAATGTTGCCCCGTTGTATTTCACGGGGGCAGCGACGGGGGAATTTTGGCTCCATGGAGGCGGGTCTGATGTAGTATCCTCTGACGGGGAATTCCCCGTTGCCATCCCTAATCCAGATAATAAAGGCCGTGGCATGCTTGATTGCATTGGACTCCAATTGGATTTGGTTACACACTGTAGAGTATATTGTCCGCACGTATAAAAAATAATAACATAGGACATTTTTTCATGTTGTATTCTATCAGTCACGTCCGGTGATGTGTTAATCAGGGTTTATTACGATGATGCTCTTGTGTAGTATTGTGACAATGGGGCAGTTTTAACCGTCTATGCATATGTCGCTATTAGTTTTAATTCACCAGAACAATTGATTATGTATGATGTGCTACGTTGGTTACATAATATGTTTGGTGTTGATCCTACGGTCCAACATGTTGATCTTATGGTCCAACAGTTTGTCGTGAAAGTTGTGTGGCCAGTTAGGGGTGAATATGGATGGAAGTGGATGTTAGTGGAGACCATATGTACCGTGAGTTGGAGGAAGTTTGTTAGCACCACAATGGCAAGAGGGTATTGCCTGGGGATACTAGTCTAGAAGAGAGCACCTCATTGCAAGTGACATGGTGGTTTCTAGCACCTTATTGCAAGTGACATGGTGGTTTCTTCATATGTAACTGTAATGGTGCAGAGGAATTTTTTTTATATTTTTTTAAAAGATTTACAAAAAATTACAAAATGAAAATTTTACAGGAATATATTTCTCCAGCCCTACCATAGGGTTTGGCATATAAATCGCCCTATGGTAGGGCGAGGAATGTGACGTGGCACCCGACAAGAGGGGTCCCCCTGGAGGGGCGCTCCGTGCATATTTTACAAGCGGCCCCCTACTGGTGATAAATCACATTAGTGAAGGGTGAGAAGGGGCCGCCTAGGGGGGGGGCTGCAAAATGGCATTCCCCACCATAGGGGAGGGCGATTTATTCGCCCCAGCTATAAAAGCCTCCCCTCCCCTTTGAAAATCCCATTTTCTTAAAATCTAGTTTAAAAAAAAGAGGGGTAAGGGGAGGGTAAGAAGGAAGTGGCGGAGCCCTGCCGGATTGGTTACTCGACTAGAGGTAAATATTTTTTCTTTTGAACATTGATTTTTCAATACATTGGTATTAGTAGGGACAATATTGCTGCAAGTTACTAATCAATATATAAATTTTATGTTTGTAGTAAAATACGAAGTTAGTGGTATAGATCTAGTATGTATATATGTTGTAGTAGCCCTTATGACAAGTTTATTTAGTTATTATACATGTAGCAACATAGTTAACAATTGTGTTTAGTTTAATGCATTTTAACAGGACTTTAATGTGTGAACAGATATGTCAAGTAAGCTGATATTCGACTTTTATTACGGTGAAGGCAATGTTAGATGTGGTCAGAATGGGGTAGATTTGTCTGAGTTCAAGTGTATGGCTAGGGGCATTGCTAGGGCTGCCAAAAGGAGTTTTGAGGCTGTATGCAACTGGTTGATAAGAGGCTTTAGAATAGATCCACAGACTCATGGCCTTACAATTTATGCTATGGTTAGCCGTGAACCCATAGGCTATTTTTGGGAACTAATGCCTATAGATTGCACCGATATATGGAGAAGATATGTGGAGATGGCATGCGAACGTTGTTGGCCACTTGCTATTCTTGTTCATGTGTACGAGAAGGGGAACACATAGGATGTGGCCATGGGGGATGACGAGGGACCAATTATTCCTAGTGATGTGGGAAGCATGGAAGTGGAAACGACAGAGAAAGGCAATCATGAACTGCAAGAAACCATGGTGGCTGAAGAACGTGGGAAGGACGCTCAACCGGCGCGGAGTCAGGAGACTGAACAGGTTTGTGAACCACCTGTTGCTCCTCCGTGACCGTAGCACATGCCTGAATGCGTGTGAGGTAAATCTCGGTGCGATCTGGAGCCAGGATGATCCATGTATCAACCTATGGATTCGTCATGCCCTTCTGTGCGAAACTCAAGCTCTACAGGTTCATCTAAGCATTGATAGCGACAGCTATGAACTGGAAGATGTGGCTCTTGTCTCCCAGCATTTGATGAGGTTGGACCTTTGCAGTGTGGTGCTAAAAGACTACTTTCTCAATTTTTTGTGCTGCCCAGTACTGAAGGAGCTATTGATGAGGAAGTGCTGTATTAAAGCTCGCAAAATCTCATCCGAATCCCTGAAACGGCTGACTGCAGTTGACTGTTCATTTTATTCATATCCCCGAGTACGAATTTTTCTCCCAAGTCTTGTTGCACTGGAGTTAACTGGACCTCAGGAGAATACTCCTGTTCTGGAAAGTATGCCATCTTTATTAACGGAATCTATAGAACTCACTTACTGTGATGATCATTGTGGTAAAGAAGAATTTGGGGGTTTATGTGACTATAATGCCTGTGACAGTTGTGGTGCTAATGGGGGCAGCAGCGGATATTGTGCATATTTCTATTTAAAGATATCATTCATGGATTATGAGTCATTGAATTTATACTATGTTGTTTCATACAGCCACCTGTCAATTGGATGGAACAGGAAGGGAGCTAACAGAAAATCTGTTTGCATTTAAGCAACTTAAGTAATTAAAGTCAAGTTTGCAAAGTTTGATCCAAGAGTTCACAAAATTATAATGATCTCAGTGCCTATGGCTTAAATATTGAGCAAATCTATATCCAGTGAATTGTGATACATTCTGAAGGTAACTCGGCTATTGACACTTGTACCATCTTAGTCTCCAACTTCAGTTCTGATGTTTAACGGTAATAACAACGATGAATAATTGAATATACAGAGCCTAAGGATGATTCAGGAGCTGGACCTTTTCTACTTTGGATTCCACCAATCTCCCCCTGTGGAGTGCTCAATTGAAAAGTACGATTGGCATAACCTGTTGCGTTAGTCATTTTGACTAAAGGCCCGCAACAAGTCATGCCGAACTCTACTGGTTCGACTGATGGCGACACAACAATGGGGGCCAGAGACAGCACCAGTCTACACCTCTACTCCTTCCGTCTAAAAAAATAAAAAGCTAACCTAGGAGGGGATGTTTTGGACGGAGGGAGTAGGCCAATGACGAGGGGCTGCGAGCGGCCAGGAACAGGCTTGCTGGCGATGATGGGTGGCTAGTGGCTGGTGTGGACGGAGTGACAGACTCCTGTTAAGTGTGAGGGTATAATTTTGTTTTTGTCAATATTATGCTAAGATAAGTCAAAATTGTAGTTACTTACAGGATTAAATGGAACCTAGAGAGGTTTAGATGTTTTTCGCGTTAAAACAATAATGAAATATTATGGTACATAGTTGTCCACATTAGAATAATAATGAAATATTATGGTACATAGTTATGCATGTGGTTTGCACATATACGTTGTTAGTCACATTAGGGAATATAGCAATCCAAGATCCCTATGTTAGTTGTTAACTTGTTATTAAGGTTTTATTTAGGACAGATTAGGGATTGTGAACCGGATATTTACTTTAGTGTCCGGTGATTTATATATCAGTAGTTATTTAGGTGTTATTTAACACAAATAGGGATTTGGCTGCCCATGACCACCCATATCCATAGTATCAACATCAGAAAAGGATACATCAAATTTTTCATCATATGCTCTCTTCATTTCTTCAAATTTGTCATTCATTTCTTGCTTTAATTCCTTAAGTATTTCTTCCTCTAATTGTTTTTTCAATTGAGGATATGCTTCTTCAAAATTTTCAATTATTTTCCAATCAATGTATTCACCGTCTAAGGAATCCACTCCCTTACTCAAGCATTCTTTATATGTAGGATTTTTAGATGACCCTTCGACCTTTATATTTGCATAGTATGAAGTTTCTAGAGCTTTATTATTGTTGGCTCTTTTGCATTTTTGTATGTATTCTTTTGCAGCTGGCTCCAAGTAGTAATTTATTCCCAATATTTTCCTAGCTTGGCTTAAAACTTCATCAATATCCATATGTTTTTTCCATGATCGGCCGATCATTAATTTTGCATCTTTTTTTTTGGGCTATTATTTCTTCAAAAGATATATAAACTCCTAGGAGCTATCCATCAAATGCTACGTATGTACTCCCTCCGTCCCAAAATAAATCAACTTCTAGATTTCAAATTTGTCCCAAAATAAACCAACTTCTACTATCTTACCTACCACTAATCCGCAAAACGAGAAATTTTATTACTTCAATACCCCTTACCTACCCATCATTCAATACAACATTCACATTAATTAAGGGCATTGTGGTCTTTTGTTTCTCTCCTTAAAAGCTCCTTGGGAAGCTAGGGTTTGCTTTATTTAGGGACAGAGGGAGTAGGCTTCTGCTGTATTACTTCATTGTTTTCTAAAGTTGGCATTAAATCGTTGAATAGATGGAAATATTCAGCAATGTTGTTTAATATTGACAGCATATAACCCTTTTCTTCTCTCTTATTATTATACTGGTACCAGAAATTATCCAATATGTATTCCTGAACTTCATCTAATATTATGTGGGTTTTTGGTTTAAATTTATTGGTATTTGATGGAAATACTTTAGTTTGTTGTCTTCTCCAAAGGTGAAGAATTCAATCCCATTATAATTCATAGATTTCTTCATACCTACAACAAAGGTAAGCGAGAGAGCAGGTTAGGTAAATGATTGTCTCTTCCCTTAATATGTTCAAATATAACTTTGTATCCATTTCCAGTAATGACATCTTCAAACAAGATCCACCTCCTAGTAGAACTCTTGCTATTAAGTTGATTATAATATCTACATATCGCTTCGCGGTCTGTTCTAACCGTAAATTCTTTGAACCTTAGATATAACCTAAAGGTATGTATCGCGTTGATTATTGCTAGGATTTCTCGATCTATATTGTTTGTTGTTTTTAATTTATAACTTCTAGAAACATATCTACATATTACTTTTCTTCTGATTTAGATGAGTATTTAAGTAGGTCTTTGTTTTAATACATCGCCCCAACCTTTTTCGATGCATCTGTTTCAATAATAAAATAATTTTCTTCTAAAGGCAATTCTAGAGGTTTTAGTTCTTTCACCTTTTCTTTTATTAACCTTACTAATATAATGTCTTCAGAATTAAAATATCTCTGACCATTTTTTCTTAATTTAGCATATAATGATCCTGCTAGCTTTACTAAATTATTAATGTGATTTCTAGCATAATTTACGATTCCTAAGAATTGTTGTAATTTCTTTTATCATTCATAACATCAGGAAATTGTAAAATATTCTTAGCAATGTGTTCTTGTAAGTGTATTTTGCCTTCTCCTATTTCGTGACGAAGGAAGCTGATTTTCTCCTTGCATATTTCCATTTTATTTTTGGATAATATTAAACCCATTTTGTTCTACCTTTCTAAAAAATATTTCCAGATCAGCGATATGTTCTTTGTAAATTTTTTAAAAGACTAACAAGTCATCTATATAGACTAATATAAATTCTTGGTTTTTGTTAAATATATTTTGCATTTTTCTTGGAATATGGCAGGTGTATTTTTTTAGGCCTAATGGCATCACTAGCCATTCATAGTGTCCCTGAGCGCAGGTAAATGCAGTCCACTCTATAGAATCTTCTGCCATCTTTACTTGCCAAAATCCAGCTTTTAAGTCCAATTTTGAGAAATATTTACTACCTTGTATCATATTGATCCATTCTTGCTTATTAGGAATGTTATAAGCATCTTCAATTGTATTATCATTTAACCTTTTTGTAATTGATGACCATTCTGGATTTACCTCTAACTTTTTCAGCATGATTTCTTACTATAAATGCAGCCGATCTATGAGGGCTCCTGCTTTCCCTTATTGCTCCTAACTTTAATAATTCTTCTATATCCTTTGGGGTCGTCTCTATTGGACATGTTTGAATTATATAGTCAAGATTTATTATATTGATTTTACAGATAATTAAATTTTTCTCCCAGTGCTTCATTGGGATTTCTCCTATTTTTGAATGTCTTCTAATCTTTGAACAATTCTCTCTATGTCCTTTTTAGACTTAATATCTTTGTACCAATTTGGTGCAAATGATTGTAGTCCTATGCACTCTATATTGGAATTTGAAATGTAATATCCGTCTATATTTACACTAAGCTCATACTCTATACTCTTTTCTTTAGGATTAGAACTGGACGCCTCGAGGTTGGAGTTGGAGGTTCCACCACGCTTTCGTACCTCTGAAATATATGAAGCATTGTCTTGATATGGTATAAATGTAATTCCTTGTTGATGTATTACTGTGGTTTGTACTGCCTATTGAAGGAACCCTTATACCAATTATGATGTCATCATTTATCATAGATAAATCCGTTATTGTAATTTCATCTATTATATATTTTGTTCCATTAATGTATACTTCAATATTATAAGCTAACTGATTGTGAATTTTCTTTGTTCCAGACATTTCTGTAGAAACTTCTGCCTTAATATCTTCAATTGTATGAACTATCTCTAGACATTTTATGAAGTACTTATCATGAATAATATTTTTTACACCCATTGTCTACTAGTGCTAATATTTTGTTTGATACTTTGGGTGATTAATTTACTTTTACCGGAATTCTTATTCCTAAAATTTCTTTGAAAGGCGTATGTGTGTGTGCAGTGAACGCTTCACCGAGCAACACTCTTAAGTGAGCAATGCCCAGGTGTGGCCTGCTAGAGATAGGCGAGTGTAATTTTGCAATTTAGGCCTGTTTGGTACTGCAGATGGAGCTCAAATACACACTAGATTTAAAGTTGTACGTTAAATTATAGTTTAAAATTTTATATTTACTAAGAAAAAAATACCCATGTGTTGCTACGGGTGAAGGCTATTTTAATCTTATCATAGTTAGATATATTTTTTTTCTAAAAAGTATATGGGATTTTTATTTTGAGATGATATCCAATTCGAAACCCTTGTATTTTCAAAAGCAAACAAATTTAAAAACCAACTAAAATATGGACGACGTACGAAAACTATTGACGAAAATATCTTCAATTTTTCATAATATAAATCACTTAATCCTAAATAGCCGAACGAAATCAAATGTTGAAAAAATGACATTGAAAAGAATCATGTGTAGATGAATCCTTCACAAAATAAACGGACATGCATGCAAGCCGCCCATACGAAATTCATTATGTTTTGCATTTGCATGTGTACAACATTATTGAAATAAACACAAACAAATCTGAAATAAATAGTATGTATCATACGCTTAGAAGATGGGCTATATTTTTCACTGAGACAGACCAAAATAGGGAGACAGCGTGTGATAGACAGTGGGCCCTTTTACAATTTTAGGCCCATATGTGCAGAAACGTATTGGACGTGGAGAAAAAAAAAGAGGAAAACATGAATATCGTCCTGCTGAAAAATGCTGAAACGGATATGAATCGGAACGGGACGACGGACAGATGAAACAAAGGTTTGTTGGAAGTTGGAACGAAGGGACGACAGATGAAAATACGATGAGTACGTAATCATCTTTAAATTTTATAATAGATAAATATATATTAAATAAAACAAAACGATTTATCTAAATATTTTGAGTAACTTTCATAAAACTACATATAATTTGTACGATCTATCACAAAACTATAGATTTAAGAATTTGTTTCATAAAACTACATATCCAGTGTCTTCGTTTATCAAAAACTACATGTAATATGCACAATATATCACAAAACTACAGATTTTCATTTATCACAAAACTATAGATTTAGTTTCTCCATTATCACAAAACTACATGTTTTAACACTAAATATGTAGTTCTGTGAAAAAACGAATACACTAAATCTATAATTTGGTGAAACAAGTTCTTAAATTTATAGTTTTGTGATAGACTGTACAAAGTACATGTAGTTTTGGGATAAACGGAGACACTAAATCTATAGTTTTGTAAAACAAGCTCTTAAATATGTAGTCTTGTGAAATTTACTCAAATATTATCAACGTAATCGTAGATCTAGAGATTCATGGATTTGTGGGGCTAGCAACACCCGTTTCTAAAAAATCTCAAGTCTGAAGCTGTGCCGAATTATACCTTAAGTTGAAAGTTCAAATTCTTTGGAAGGAAGCTACAAGTTGAAAGTATAAATAGAACTTTTGGCACGTCATCACAAAGTAGGCCGCAAGTCCAGCATTGTCTAAGGGACTGTTTGGGGGAGCTTCTAGCTTCTCCCAGAAACTCCAGCTCCCCAAACAGTCTAGATTGTCACCCAGATTCTGAGAATCTGTAGTTGTAGAATCCAGAAAATGAATTAGAACCCAGAAACCTGAAAACCCAGCTTCTCCAAATTCTCAGAAGCTGGCTACAAGAGCAGGTACAATAGCAGCCTATTAGCCAGCTATAAATATATTTTAATGAGATAAAAGATGAGAGAGAAGAGCAGCGGGCTACAGATCTGTAGCCAGCTGTAGCACGGACTCCAAGACGCAATGTGTGTATGACAGATGGGACCATATATCAATAGTATAGTAAGCAACTATTGTATGAATTGGCTATTAGATCGGCTATAGATGAATTGGAGCTAGTAGTAGGCTATACTATTAAATTTGCTCTAACCAGCAGATTCTCATAATCTTAAGCTCCCTAAATTGGTGACGATGGAGGCTTTGAAGGTGGAAAAGGAGATGGGGCGGCCTCCACCGTCATCGTCCCTTGGATAGGCCTACGAAAAGACCGGATCGGTGACTCGCGGAGGAGAAGGCGAGGCGGTGACAACAACTGAATTAGAGGGTTGGAGGTGACTCGCGGAGGAGAAGGCGAGGCGGTGACAACAACTGAATTAGAGGGTTGGAGGCATAGTTTTTAAGATCGGATCGGCAATCAAAACGGCCAAGCTAGCTCTAGATTCGGTGGTCCACTAGTTAATGTTGGTAATTTTTTAAAAAATAGATAAGCCTCGATAAGTTTGACTTAGGATAAAAGTTAATACACCTTATTATATCAAATGGAGAGAGTATTTTATTATCAGAGCGTGAAACTTCTCGTATAACTGTACAAACAACATTTATTCAGCAAGAATAATCTAATAGTTAAAACTAAGTCTAGGGTCAAAATGACATGGAAAAAGTATCAGTTATTCCGAAGCAGATGAAGCACCAACCGAAGGTTTGACTACTCAACAGGCAGAACTCCGGCGAATTCGACGCCGGCGTCAGACACGCAGAGGGAGTACTCCGTACTAACTAAGGAGCTGTTTGGTTGGGCTGTTTTCGGCCCGTATCAGATACCAGCGTGAATTGATTCCCTTACATCTGTTTGTTTTAGATGGACTGTAATCGGTTAGCCCGCAAACGAATCCCAGCCCAATACAAAGTTGATTACGCTCCAGATCGGGCGTTACGCGTTACCGATACGGAGGCGGAGCGGAGCGAACGTGACCTAGCCTTGAGCGCCGCCACCTTGCAGCGCACCGTCGCCGGCGCCGCTCCCCCTGCCCGGCGTGCGTAGTCGACACCGCTGCCCCCTGCCCCGACGCCGCTGCCCCTCCCCTCGCACGCTCCATGACCGCCCGGAGATTGCCCGCCTCGACAAGGCCGACAACCCACTGCTCTGCTACCTTCAGTCCCTCCTCCATCTCCCTCGAGTTCCACATCCCTGACGACTGGATCTGCGAGAAGGACGAGGCTGTTGAGCATCAAGAAGGCATGGCAGAGATCTTGAGGCACACGAAGAAGGCACCAGCCACCAAGGAGGTTCTTCTGTCGTTTCCGCCGTCGCCAGTGAGAACCCTCCCCTCACTGATACCACCACTCTTTATGATGATATACTTGTGATGCTGATGATTGATGATCTTTTTTTTTCATTAACAAATCATGAAGTAGTTTATACTAGTGAATCATTTGTATTCTTGATTGGTTGCATGTATTCCTGCCTCAGTTCTGTTTGCTTTATAAGTTTACATGAGTTTTGTAGAATCTGTTTTTCCCGATTGCAGGAAAAATCTGGAATAGTAGTTGATGGTTCTTTCATATTTGTTTTCGAGTGTAGGTAAGTTCCGAAATTTTATCGGACCAACTCATTTTACTCTCTAGATTTTGAGAATTTTGATTTTCATTACTGCCAGGTGATATATTATATTGCAGTGTCAGATTGGAAAAAAAAAAGGTTTGTCGTGCATTGCCTTTTCGACAGAATTGTCATCTTGCACATATATAATCAATTTACTTATGTTTCGCAGCATGGACTGTTCCAAACCAATCTACTTGCTGAATCTGAGTCTACTAATCTAGTAGTTTCACTCATGTCAATTGTTCATCCATATATTTCCTCAGTACTTTATTTAGATAGATCACAATGTATCCTCTTGTTGTTTAGTTCATTGAACTTCTGAAGTTCTCACTCCCAGCATGGGTCTTATATTTACTCTTGAGTATTCGGAAGCTACATCTACAAGATCTTGTTCAGAGATCTTCCAGGATGATGCTAGGCTGATATTAGATACAAATTCAAAAAACTAGCTGCTTTCAAATATTTGCATGTCAAAATGGATCCGATATTTACTCTTGAGTATTCCGAACCAAACACCACCCTAGCTTGAGATCGTTGGATCGAGATTGAACTGTTGGAGTTTCACTGCTCTCATCGTGATCCTTCCACAAGGATTCAAGTGCCAATTATTGCTTATCTCATGACTGCTGCGAAAATTAGTCTCGCGGTGCAGCTATTTACTTGTTGGTTAACTGCCAATATATCTGGTATGTGCATAACTGTCCCATGGGCAATTTATTTCTTTACTTGTTATATTCCAAAAACTTTGTTAGCAAATATTTTTTTTGCAACTGCTGTTGACATTGTTCAACAAATATTTGCTCTACTTTCTGATTAGCATTTAATTTTCTCTTGTCCAGGAAGTTGACTTCAGATGGCCCTGCTTTCCATTTTCTTTTAAAATTCACTTTGCAGAAGCAAATGGAGGGTAAATTTGCAGGTGAGCTAACTTATATTTCATGAAAAGTGTATGATTGGAAACCATATAAACTATTCCACTTGTTACCAATTGCATAAGTGGAACACATATTTTTGGGTTTCGTGCTCTCCTTTAAACTCACAGTGGCATCTTTTATTTCTTTTAATGTAGAAGTAACATTATAAATTGGATTCCTTGCATCTTTGTTTGAGCATGAGAACATATTTACATGCATGTGTGCTTCTTAACTTTGGAGTCAATGCCCTTTTTAGAATGAAGCGAGGACCTGCCCGATTATTCACTTTCAGTAGTTTCTGGATGCATGTTGTCCAATTATATCACTTGAATTCTAAAGCCACATGACCTTTTCTTGAATTATTCCTGTACATGCCCTAGCTAGAGTGCTATCAGGTATTAAAAAATACACATTTCCCTTCTTTTCTTTATTTTGGGCCAGGAAGCATGTCACAAAATTTAGGAGTTTGCCCTATATGAGAGCTACTATTGCATATCTTAATCACTGCCTTTTTAGATTGTTGTTGGATCACTTTTGAAGACTGTTTGTGCTAGACTCCTTTAAGGTGTTTTTAGACTTTTTTTTAAATTATTGCATATAACTGTTCGGTCACTAATTTCTGAATTATTTCATTATTACCACAGATGAAGCAATGAAGAATAACCGATGTATTAGCTCAGTCACAATATTTGGAGCTTGTTCATTATTATATGACCACTATCCATAATTTCTACTTGAGATTATTAAACTGATGTTCACATTTTCAAGACTGTATACACTTCCCAATGTGTGATAGTATCAAACAGTTGCATGTTATAAAATTGTGAATATTTTTACATAGCTTTGATGTGCTACACGTGTTTGAGAACACTGCTGCTATGTAGCTTGTAATGTGCCTTAGCTTTGAGCTGCGTCACGTTCTAAGCGCTCCCTGCTTCGGAAGCAGCCGTTACCCGTTACCATGTTCCATCCAAACAATGTAATGCAAACATGAGACGTTACAGCGGCCAACCAAACAAAACCTGTAAAGTGATACATTTTCTTCCCTTACCGCTGTAGCTGATCCCATTTACGTTTGCATTTCCTGACCTCAACCAAACACCACCTAAGCTTAATACGCTTCGTCAGGCCGGGGAAGCAGAGCCGGTGCAGCCTCTGCGCGGGTTCGTCGTCTTCCAGGCTCGGAGGGCGGTCGTAGTAGAGCTCAACTCCGGCGGCATTGTTGCCGCCGCGTCGCTCCTGGAACTGCACGCTCGGCGCGCGCTCGATCTGCGACAGGTGCTCGAGCACCTTCCCCTTGGTGACCTCCGCGCTGCTCGACCTCTTTCTCGCCGCCGTCGCTGTCGACTTCTGGTAATGGAGCTTGTCCCCCTGGTTCTTGTACATGAGCTCGTAGCCGTGGCTGGGTATCTCTATGTCGTCGGGGAGCTCCCTCTCCTTGCCGACGGCGACCGCCGTCTCGTAGCACCACGTGGATGCGACGTGGTTGATGGTGTAGCCGCCGCCGCCGACGAGGAGCAGCGGCAGGTTGAACCCGCGGAGGAAGCCGACGCACTCCGCGTGGCCCCGCACCGACAGCTCCATGCCGCCGAGGCGGTCGCCGGAGAGCGAGTCGGCGCCGCACTGCAGCACGATGGCCTCCGGCTGGAACACCTCCATGGCCTTGCCCACGATCGGCTTGAACAGCGTGTGGTACACGTCGGCGCGGACGCCGGCGTCCAGGGGCACGTTCACGCTGTAGTGCTCGCCGGCGCCGGCGCCGATTTCGTTGATGGCGCCGGAGCCCGGGAAGAAGTTCTTGTGGGGCGTGATTTTGCCGTACCGGTGGAACGACAGCGTCATGACCCGGTTGGAGTCCAAGAAGGCGTTCTGCACGCCGTCGCCGTGGTGCGCGTCGATGTCGACGTAGATGACTCGCCTGAAGGTGCCGAGGAGCTCGTTGATGGCGAGCACGATGTCGTTGACGTAGCAGAAGCCGGTGGCCTTGCAGGCGGACGCGTGGTGCATGCCGCCTGACCAGTTGATGGCGATGTCGGAGGCGCCGTCGACGAGCGCGCGCGCCGCGGCGAGCGACCCGCCGGCGTAGCCGCGGCAGTACTTCCAGAGGCGGTCGAAGGCGGGGCAATCATCTTTGCCGCCGATGCCGTGGTCATCCTCCGCCTTCTGCCGAAGCGCGGCGTCGTTGAAGTAGCTTTCCGGGGTGAGGTCGCGGAGGAGGTCGACGTACTCCGGCGAGTGGAAGCGGCGGATCTCCGCCTCCGTGGCGGGTCTCGTACGGAGGCGGCTCATGTCGCCGAGCATGCCGTAGACGCCGACGAGGCTGTGCGCCATGGCGACGCGGGCGGGCACCATGACATGGTCGTCGCTGAATTTGATGTGGGCGATGCCCGGGTCGTAGTAGTAGCACACCCGCCGCTTCTTGTCATCGGCGCACGACGGCGACGGCAGCGAGTTCCCCCCGGTGGCCATCGATTCAAGTTCCTTCTTGGAAGATCGAGATCGAACAGAATGCAGCAATTATGCAGAAATCTCACATGGATATACAAACTACAAAGGGACACATGAGTCTCTGTCCGAGTCGGCAACGAAAACCGTATCGTAAACAAACAAACTAGCTAGTCGAGATAAGTTTTAACAACCAGTATGATAACCAATTGAGAAGTACCGTGTGCTAGTTTTCTGTAACCAATTCGATCAAAGCTGTATTTCTATGAGCTTCAGCAAGCAACAGTGTTAGTATTAATTCTTGCAGACCCAAAGCACACACTTTCAGAATTCAGATAAGGACTTCAGCATGGACGTCGTCAGCTCGATCAATCATCTGCTAGATCTCTGAACTTCTCAGACTGAATCCTACACAAGCACGAAGAGCATATTAGTTCAGATATCCTTTGGCATATATTAAAAAACATTGAATTGCATGATAAGGGACTTTGCAGTTGATAAAAGTATATACTGTAGAAATTATCACTTGCTCCCGAGAACTAAATGAGCTGTGTTTTCTCCTAACAGAATCATTGAAGAGTATGATGTTGAAAGTATAGGTATAATGAATGCCAAAGTACGGGCCAGTTCAGGAGGGATGTACTCAAGTCGCCAATGATTCATTTATTTGTTCAACTTCCTAATAAACTACTAGTACTCTAAAAACCAGAATGGATACAATCAAAGTCAATCAGTGTACACATCTCCAATTCTCGTTACAAACTCACTAGGCACAAATCTATCTATAAGAACTGCAATCAGAACGCTTAACTATACTCTCCACTGCCAAAACTGTTGCTGATACATCTCTCACAGCACCTACTGGTCTCCAGTCATATGTAGTCCCCACATGACATCTATAGATACAATAGTGAACGACAGTTGTAATTAAAATAAATGCATATTACTTTACATAAAATTTTCTTCACTCATATGGGCCATTTAAACCTTTTCATTTTCATCCAATGCCTCTAGTTATAAATAAATATAGTAATGAGAGAAGTAGGTAGATTGGATATGTAGGATGGATTTTGAGTCATCTCAAACCTGGATCTGGATGGTGATTTTGTCTGGAGTAATCCCATAGGTATTCAAGATTTTCAAAATCTTGTGAACCCATTCATCATTCCTTAAACATCTGACTTCGACTGTTTGAAGGTGCTCAAACTGAACCATACGTCCCACTGATCTGCTACTTTCTTCAATTTCCACCATACGTTCATGTCCCTATGGAAGAAAAAAAAAACTCAGCTCAATCAATCATGCATGATAACTTTGATAAGCCATCACTATCACATTAGAATGTATATACCTCACAAAGCTGAAGGGTGAGCTTCTCCAGAATTGGTGTGTGTTGGAGAAAGCAAACAACAGCATAGAAATCATGCCCAACAACCCACCCATCAAGAAGCAAAGTCTTTACCTTGCTGAATCTGGGGCACCATGTCAAGTCTTGTTTGAACATACACTGTGCAAAGTAAGATGGAATATATCATTTTAACATACAAAGGTATGGACATTAGACAGAACACTAGAGCAAAATGAAGACATAAGGAGACATGCCAATAGATCACTACTTGATTTATAAGGTTCTCTTTACTGAAAGAAATATTCTTGTGTTGACAAAGAAATATTCTTGTGTTAACGATACTGGTTGAAGTTATACAGAGCTCACAACAAATCGAACTATTTTCAAGTTCTAGAAAACATATTGATGTCACAAGCTTCAAAACCATATAATTCAATAGTTCACCCCGCCCACCCCCACAAACCAACGTTCAGGATGTCCTCATTGAAACATGGTAAGGCAGAACAGAAATCCATGGTAACACATAGAATTCTGTTTAAATATAAAGCTAATGAATATGTAGTGTTTGATAGTATGAATGACAAAAATTGGCTGGAAGACAAGTCAGAAATGAACACGAATGTACCATTCCATCTTCAGCTGCTAACTCCAAATTCACAGCATTGGACAGATCTCTGAGAAACTCACACTTGAAACTGCTATCAGGATCACCATCACAATCAGCACATGTACCAGGATGAAATGTGCATTCCGAACAGCAACCCATTGACTCTTTCCCAAGCTTGACAGATGCTGTTACTAGCAATGGCAAGGTTTCAAGTGAAGGAGTCCAGCCCCATATATCATTCAGCTGTAGCGAAATAAGACCTGGGGCAGAAATATGTGTGGGCTCCTCGAAGTGGCATCGAGTGAAGCAGAGATGCTTTAGTGACTGGCACACCAACTTCTCGGTGCAAATTCCACATGATTCCATCTCAAGGTCTTGCAATGCAGGTAAGCTTGACAGATCGTCAGTAAACCGACCATCGGTGATGCAAAGACGCTTCAGTGACTGTGAGAAAATCTTGTTGGTGGTGGAATTCCCACAAAAATTCATCTCAAGTTCCTCCAGTGAAGGACAGCTTGAGAAATCCAGAGCACGCTTGTCCAGCAGTACACGCCTAAGCTCTAAGGTCTTTAAGTGTTCAGAGATGAGAGGCATGTTGACTTTCAGCAGGGGTAGATCATATTGATATTGAACGAGGACTCTGAGAACCCGAACATTGCACATTAGCGCATGCCTGATCCATGTGTTAGCGTACTTAAGCAAGCGGAAAGAAGGTTGTAGTGGATGCAACTTGCAAATGCCCAATACGGTTTGGAACTCGAGCTCATCAAGAGGCACCGGGTCGCGCAAGAGCAGTAGATTGTTGAAAAACTTGTCGAACTTAGCCATACCACCCCATCTCTTTGCGTTTCTGATGCGCAGGACGGGGGCGGACCTCCAGAGGTTGCGCCAGCGGCGGGAGAGCACGCACGTCCACACGGCCTCGTGCGCTGGCAGGAAGGAGAGGACATTGTGGAGGATCTCGTCCGGGAGGGTGCTAAGCCAGTCCTCGCCGCCGTCCTCCTCGGCCGTGAGTCCCTCGCGTCTGCTGCTGCCGTCGCGCCTCGTAGCCATTCCGTCGAACAGGTGGCGAGCGCCCCTCCTGCGCCAGAGCAGAGAGAGGTGAGACGCCAAAAAAAACTCATCACGGAACACAGAGAAGAAACGAGAAGACACACTCACCTCAACTCAGTCGCCGGAACACACGCTCTCCGTCGCTCCGGCCGCCGCCGCTTCTGGTAGGGGACGAGCACCGTGGCGGCGTCGCCGGCCACCGCTGGTCGATGGAGCGGATGGCAGTGTGAAGTGTACGCTTGCTCACTGGCGTGGTCACCCTGTTATATGGGCTGTAAGAAAGGGGGAATTTAACTATTTGCCACTTTTAGGTTAGACAATTATCCAAATGCCCCTTTTAGTTTTGCACATAATTGTTTGCCACTTTTATGAGATGCCTTCTTAACTATTTGCCACTTTTGCCCACGTGGCATGCCAACATGGCAACGGAGGGTAGAAACCGGTGTGGGTCCCACTTGTCAGCCTCTCCTCTCTCTCCTTCTTCTCTCCCTCCGGTCCGATGTGGCGAAGGACGAGACAGAGCGACGGCGCCAGCGGAGAACGAGGCAGAGCGGCGGCGAACGGGTTCCTCGCAGTCACTGGCTAGGATGAGCCCCCGGCGAGATGCGCCGGTCATCGTGGGAGCGAAGACGGCGACGAGGTGGGAGCGTGTGACGGCGGCATGGACGAGCAGTGGGGGCGAGCGGAGGAGGAGGCAGCAGCGCGCAGCGCCTGCGGTTGCAGACGAGGGCGGCGCAGATGAGGTCGGGCGGAGGGAGGCGGCAGAGGATGTTGTGGAGGGCGTGGTCGGCGAGCACCGTGGTGGGGGAAATTTAACCGCCGCCACGCCTCCTCCTCCGGTGGCGCTCCTCCGTCGGCGCCGCTGCTCCGTCCGCCGCCACTATGCCTTCTCCTCCACCAGTGCCGCTGCTACTACTCCTTCTCCACCGACGCCGCTGTTCCGCCTTCTCCGTTTCCGCGAGAAGCTCGTCCACCGCCGCTACACCTCCTCTTCCGCCGCCGCCGTTGCTCGCCTCCACGAGGAGCCTATCCGCCGCTCTGCTTCGTCCTCCGCCGGCGCCGCCGCTCCGCCTCGTCCGCTGCCACATCGGACCGAAGGGAGAGAGGAAGGAGAGAGAGGAAAGGCTGACTAGTGGGTCCCACACCGGTTTCTACCCTCCGTTGCTATGTTGGCATGCCATGTGGGCAAAAGTGGCAAATAGTTAAGAAGGCATCTCGTAAAAGTGGCAAAAAATTATGTGCAAATCTAAAAGGGGCATTTGGATAATTGTCCAATCTAAAAGTGACAAATAGTTAAATTCCCCGTAAGAAAGACGCAAAACTCTGTTGAATTTTTTTCATTTTTAAATTTTTTTCTTTTAATATTTACAGAAATAATCCATCGGCACAAAAAATTACAAAAATAGACCCTACCGCCCTCCACTAGAACGGCAAGCTGACGTGGCAAACGGGGGAGGGATGGGCGATGACGGCAGACTGGAGAGGGAGGGATTTTTTGCACGAAAACACTTGCCTTCCTCTGTTAGGGCGGCAAGGGGCCCCATGCAAAAAAGCCAGCCCGGGCCTAGTACTTTTTGGCTCGTACTTTTTTTATCTGGGTCCCTTGCCGCCCTTTGCTCTTTAGGGCTGCGAAAATTGCATTTAGCCCCAAAGGACGGCAAGGGGCTAAATGCAATTTTCGCAGACGGCGGCAGACGACGCCGTCGAGCCGCCGTTTGCCACGTCAGCTTGCCGCTCTCCACTAGGGCGGCAGGGTCTATTTTTGTAATTTTTTGCGCCGATGGATTATTTATGTAAATATTAAAAGAAAAAAATTTAAAAATAAAAAAAAATCAACTCTGTTCTGGTGAAAGCGGCCCACCATGCAAACATAATTAAGCCCAGCGATAACTACCCAAAGAAAGCCCAATTACTGCCAGCCTAGCCCATTAATTACTCCTACTTTCTAATCTTTGCTGTTAATTTTGGCCCTCGGCAATGGTGTTTAGGTTGGCCCATAGGTGCTGGTAACTTTGACCCGTAGCTTCTGGTAATTTCAGCCCGTAATTGCCTAGTAATTCTGTGAATCCTCCACGTCGGACGAGAGGCTAATACGCGACTAGTCGTGCTCACCCTCCCGGACGTGACTGGACACGTGTTGCGCGTGGAGAGGAGGAGGCGGACGGCACGTACGATCCTTTTTTTTTTGTCGTACCGTTTCTTTTTTTGTTTGTTTGTTTTTTCTGTTTTTTTTTCTTCCGTACCTTTTCCGGTTTTCTTTTTTTTCTTTTTTTCTTCCCATATATTTTTATGTTTTCCCCTTTTAATACGTATGTATGTAAACTTTGTATACGTACAAATGCAAAGTTTGTATACACGTATATAAACTTTATATACACGTATGTAAACTTTTGTATACGTGTATACAAAGTTTGTATACGTACATACGTATATCAACTTTGTATACACGTATACAAAGTTTGTATAAACTTATATAAAGTTTGTATACACGTATTTTTTAGGTTTTTTATACATACGCACACAAACTTTATATACATGTGTATATCTTTTATACATTAAAAGTGTATACATATAAAAAAATTATGTATATATACACACATATGTATATACATACGTACAAAGTTTATACGTATGTATATATAGTACATACATATGTATATACATATAGTAGTACTCCATATAAGATAAGAGATCAGACTAGAGGGGGGCAGCTGATCGCGCGCGCGCGGCCGCGTGACTGGTCGTGGATAAGCGCCCCCCCCCCCCCCCCCCACGTCGGGCGTTCGAGGGGGAGAAAAAATCGGGCGCCCCGCGCCACGCCACGCCTCTGCGCCCTCACCACGTGCGCCCATCGTAACAGCCATCTGGATATAACGGAAACGTTCTATTAAGGGGAATTCGTTTCATTTTTTATTCATGTCGATACGAAAAACACGCACTGGCCTGAGAGATTTGTTTTACTCTAGTGCAGGTCCAAAAATCTTGCCTTCGGGTTTGGGGTGTGCTAGTTGGTTTGATCCTGCAACCAACAAGAAGCCAAGAAAACAAAGTTAAATCCATCAGCGATAATCGATCGGCTGGGCTGCCAATGACATATCGTCTATACCAAGGCGATGTGACGTAGATCAGATCGGCAATGAAGGGTGTAGTAAGTAAAGTATTAGATCCGCTCTATCGGCTGTAGATATTAGCAGTACGTAATCTAGGCTTCAGGGTATATTTAAACTAAGTGATAGATCGGACAGCACACCGAGATAGTATAAATCACTTGTGTCTAAATTTACACTGAAGCAAGGATTATGAACGCTCATAGCATAACCGATAGGCAAACCCAACGTGTATTGGCTTGTACTCCAACACTGCTTTATGCTGGGATGTCAATACATACTAAATATGCTAAACGAGAATCAATCTAAAGCCAGGATGGCTCAGCAGATCGATGTCAAGCTTAATATATTTCACCCGAGTGAGATCCCAACATAAAGGGTAGATTTAGCGTATCGAGTGAATTGGGAACGAAAAACAAGATAACTAAACCAGATAAGATCGGCTGAAACCCCGATACTATCTCTATTCGTGATCATAAAACGAGCTAAATATTACGCTTCTAGATATTACTTCATAGATCAAACTGAACTGATGCAGCATTAAGCATAAAAAGAAACATAAGATCTAAACAAGTCGATGAAAGCTTTTTCGAAATGGTAGATATGCTATATAATCTAACTCGACGATAGCATATAGTCCTGTCAGTCATTTCGACGATAGAGGCTAGCCGACGGGATCGGATGGTAAGATCGATCTAGATTATATAGCATATATGATAACTCGGCGGTTTTCATAGACAAGACTAGAGTGTTGCAACGATGTAAGCACTAGTTCCGAGAACGGAAACCACATAACAGGCTTTACCTCTTGTCGGAGATCGAACCCAATGCAGCCCAACTCGAAAGCAAGAACTCATCGAAAATAAAGAAAAGTAAAAATGGTGGTGATGCGCCGAGAGTGTATTGAACTGATGTCGTCCTTGTTTACAAGGTATCGGATCACATTTTTGTACCCAGAATACATAATATGTCCTTGCCGGACACGACTCTACTTCTATTATAACTCGAACATACGAACAAGTCCCTTAGACGAACTCTTACCAAAAATATCCATAAGGAAAACTACTAGAATATCCTAATTAATAGATATTATTGTCTTCTCTAGACTCAATCCATATTTGAAAATACTTGTACAACACTCTGACCAATCCCAACAATGATTCCATAAACATCTTGCCAAAATCGGCTATATCGGCCTCCCCTCTATCCAATCCGGCGTCAGCCGATGTAGATAACAGCTGATAGAGCCCGTAGCTGATGCGTACTCGTGAACAGTTCCACCAACAATGTTTCAGCTAGTGTACTCGTGATGTTTCACTATGTATGGATCAAATGTTACAGTGGATTTTTTATACTGTTAATAATTTTATCTTGATGGACACATGGTTTGTTGATTGACACGAGTTTAATTGTTTCAATGGCTTGAAATCGTTTATTGCATACGTTGAACCAAATTGTTTCATTTAGCGATCTGACCGTGTTTCACTTTTTTAAATAATTGAAACATTTTTTCGCTATTTGCTGAAACATTGTTTTTAGGGTGAACTAACGTCCGATTGTTTAGAAACCGTTGTTTCATACGTTGTAGAAAAATGTTTCAAGAGGTGATTTGGCTGTGTTTCAGCTTTTTAAAGATTGAAATATTTTTGATCTACTAGAAAAAATACCCATGTGTTGCAACGGGTGAAGGCTATTTTAATATTATTATTGTTTAATGTGAAATTCACCGTAAGAATTCGCTTGAATATATATTTTTCTAAAAAAATCATTCAAGTTAGCACGCGAGCTTTTTTTAAAAAGATTTCTTATATCTCCTTCTGTATTTCCAAAAGCGAACAAAGTTAAAACCCGACTCAAATACAGATACGTATTTCTAAAAGCGAACGATTTTAAAAAACCGACTCTGTCGGTGACATGGGATCAGGAGTATCATGACTAGAGGTTTGAGGCAGACACAATCGCACACGTGGCCTGGTACCCCCGAGGGACGTCGGGCCCGAGGGTGATGCGTTCGCCCTCCTCTTAGTCCCCACGAGGGGGTCGGGCCGCACCCCCCTCGGCCCCGAGGGCCGAGGCGCCCCGACCCCTCGTGGGTTTTTGCTCCGTGTATGGGTTAGGTGAGCACAGTGGGGCTCACCTAACCA